AGAAACTATTTTGTAGATAATAATATGTAAAATGATAACCATTGATAATTTCCTACCATTTTGTCTGTAATTTGCTAAGTCCCCCCTATTATTATGTTATCCTTCTTTTATTCTTTAAAATAAAAAAAAAATTATTATTTTCTTATTCCCTTTAAAAAAAAAAAATTTCCCTCTGAGGACTACTTCCATTGCATCCCACAGATTCCTGTAAGTTGTATCTACATTGTTGTTTGATTGTAAACAGTGTTTAATTTCTACTTGGATTTCATCTGTGAAATTGGTTGGTCAGGAGGATGTTATTTAATTTCTAACTGTTTATGGAGTTTTTGTGATTTCTTTTGTCATTAATTTCCAATTTCACAGCACTATGGTCCAACAGTATACATGGGAGAATTTCAATTCCTTTGCATTTACTTAAACATATTCTATGTGCTAGCATATGGTCTATTTTAGAGAACGTCCCATGTGCAGTTGAGAAGAATGTGTATTCTGATCCTGTTGGGTGACTCTATAAAGGTCTGTTAGGTCCATATGTTCACAAGTTTGATTAAGTTCTGTTATTTCTTTGCTGATTTTTTGTCTAGTTGATTGACTTCTTTTTGACACTGGGGTGTTAAAGTCCCCTGTTATGATTGTGTTGCTGCTTCTTTCATTTTTGATATATGTTAAAATTTGTCTTATATAGTTGGGTGCTTCTGTATTTTGTGCATAGGTGTTTATGATTGTTATCTCTTCCTCTTGAAGTTTTCCCCTTGCAAGTATGTAGTGACCTTCTTTATCTCTTTTGATTGTTCTTGGTTTGAAGTTCAGGTTGTGTGCAAACAGAATAGCTATACCTGCTTTTTTCTGGGTTCGTGTTGTGAGGGGTATTGTTTTCCATCCTTTAATTTTCAATCTATGAATCTCCTTTTGAGTTAAATGTGTTTCTTGTATACAACATATAGTTGGATTTTGTTTCTTGATCCACTCCCGGTCTGCGTCTTTTGATTGGTGAATTGAGACCATTTACACTGATGGTTGAAACTGGTATGTATTGGCTTATCTCGGTCATGTTATTTTCCTGCCGTTGGATCCTCTTTTTTCCCTCTTTTTATTTGCTTGCTCTGCTTGGTGGTTCCTTTCTGTTGTTGTTCTTGAAGTTGTGGTCTGTTTTATCTCTTTCTAGAATATCTTTTAGTACAACTGTAGGATTGGTTTGGTGCTCACAAATTTCTTCAGATGTTCTTTATCATGAAAATATCTTATTTCTCCATTAAATTTGAAGGATAATTTTGAAGGATAGTTTTGCAGGGTACATCAATCTGGGCTGGAAGTTGTTTTCTTTCAGTACCTGAAATATTTCATTCCAAGCTCTTCCTGACTTGATGGTTTGGGTTGAGAAATCTGCCATGATTCTGATGGGCTTTCCTTTACACGTGATCTGTTTCTTTTCCCTAACAACTTTTAATATTCTGATCTTTTGTTGAGTTTCTGGGATCTTGATCACTATATGTCTAGGTGTAGATTTATTTTGGTTATGATTAACTGGAGTTCTATATGCTTCAGTTATCTGTATGTCTGATTCTTTTTCCATGTCTGGGAAATTTTGTGGTATTATTTCTGCAAATAGTCTTTTTATAACATTTGTGTTGACATCTGCTGTTTCATTGATACCTATTAATCTGGCATTGGTTTGTTTTGTGTTTTTTTTTTGTTTTTTTTTTTTGTTTTGTTTTTTTGCTTCATCTTGCAGTTGTTGAATTGTTATTTCCTTGGAATCTGAACTTCAAAAATGAGTCTTTGAACCCATGAACCTGGAGGAGAAGCACTGGAGCACTTAAGAAATTGAGTAATAACCTACAAAAACAAGTGGTGATCAAGCAAATGGCCTGGCCATCACCCACTTAGATTAAGTTCAACATACTTGAGCACCAGTCTCACAATTTTGCAGGTCATGAATGTCCCAACTGTACAAAATGATACATTTATTAAAACCTTTTGAGCATCTTTAACACTTGACACTCAGCATCAGTGTGGAGCAATTTATAATCATTTGACTGACCACATTTAAGCCCAGTTTAACCACGTAGGTCCTGAAAGGAGAGGTGAACATACCCCAGGGCAGTGAAGGAAGCTGGGGCATTGTCCTGCCTGGGACAGTGGAATGGGGAAGAAATGTGAACTATGGAGGCATGCAGGTATGAGAAAAGACACATTAATAATAAAGAGGAACTTCTGGAACTGACTTTCCACATTAGGCAGGTATTTAAAAGACTGTCAGAACAAGCCTATAATAATGGCATTAACTTCTGGCTGAAAATCCAGGAGCATACTCTATGCCATTTATGATGTATACAGTAGTCTGAACTGGTTATTAGGAGACGCAGTGATAAGGGTGTCTCTATGTCATTTTTTGGAAATTGTGATTCTAAATATTTTATGAGTCTGCTCAAGGATAAAACACTTGATGAAACACAGATTTCACATTATAACAACTTCTGGATGTTTGAGGAAATTGCTACAAAATGCTGTAATTTAGACAATGTAAAAGACACAGTATTTGTGAAATAATAGGAAATCCTAAACTAAATACTGAATTATAGTCTTTGGAAAAATTAAATTTTTGAATTTGCACTGACTATAATTATTTAGTATGAACTCTTGCTTACTATTAACCTTATAAAAAACTAAGGGCATCTAGTGACTAATTTGCTTTAAAGGGATTAGAAGACATTTTTACAAATTTTTGAAAACTTGTTTTCCAAAATAAAAATGCATGTGAGATTCACAAGAGAGCATCTAATGAAATGTAAAGAAATTAAAACACTGAAACAAAAATGTTTTACACGGCTATAAAGACTCACATACAAAGAATTCAAACTAACTTTTTTACAAAGATTTTTTTAACCATTGTAGGTTTAAGAATAGTCTTAATCGATGCAGGTAAGAAAAAAACTGAGGCACATACTGTACTTCTTTTAGGGAAAATTCTTCACAATATCCCAGAACTGAAAATTTGAAAGAACAATTCAAGAAATACATTACCATTTAGATATTGCTTGAGAGGCAGTGAAACTTATAAGGAATATCTACAAAAGAAAAAGAAAATATTTTGTAGTGATTTCTGTGGTAACAATCATTACACATGATATCACTATGGTAGTTAAATTTATTATGTAAAACACATGGTTCATTCTGCTTTAAAAATCATTTGACATCACTTAAACTAGAAAACATATATATAACATTTATATATATATAAAGTCTTGGGCTGGGGGTTTAGCTCAGCGGCAAAAGCGCCTGCCTGGCAAGCGCAAGGTCGTGAGTTCGGTTCCCAGTACCGGAGAAAAACCAAAAAAAAATAAAATAAAATAAAATAAATAAATAAAGTCTTGATTATAAGAACATTATATTGCTAAAATAAAGGCAAGAAAAAAGAAAACTTAGAATACACAGATAGAAGGATGCAAATTGTATTGTACTTATTTTATGTATTCAGCCATCACTGGCCCACCAACAGACTCTTACAAATATGTAATTAAATATAATTATCTTGAATTTTTGCCAAACTTCAGTCATATAAAAACCATGATTTTACATATATTTTATTTAGTGTGATAAAGGTATATATCATCAAGTCAAGAAAGCAGTGCATGTTTTATGACAGTGATATACAACTTTTAATCATTTGGAGACACATGGTCCACGCCACCTTTGTCCTGTAACCCCCTGTCTTTGGGAGGGGCAGACTCTGACTTTATATTAAGTGCTGCTAAAGAAATTAAAGTCCGCAGGGGAGGGATGGAGACATACTCACTTCCTTCTGTGTCAGGAGGAAAGCTTCCTAGCGCCAGTCTCCACTCCCCATATTTTCATTTACTCTGCAATTCTCCACCCAAGTTTCCTTCTAGGTCTATTCCGTGCTGGTCCCACATGCTTCACCGTCTGCCTGCTGGTGCTTCTGGCAGGACACGGAAGGGGAGGATTTCCCTGCGAAAATGTCCTGGGCATCCCCTAAACTCCATCTTCGTTAGTGACAATAAAATCCAGGGATTTCTGCCTTCTGGGGTTTCAGACCTACAGGAAAAGGGGCAATCAAAGAGTCCCTGCTTGGAGCGTTTTCTAAAACACTTCCTGGCAAGGAGCCATGGCTGTGGAGCAAGCTGGAGAATGCGAACTGGGATCCTCAGTGGGTGCAGTGAGGATGGGGTAGACCAGAAGGACAGCCTGGGTTCAGCCCGTTGACTTCCCCCACACAGTCTCAGTTTTACTTCTTCTTTCCCTGCACTGCAAATGTCATCACCCCCATTATACACAGACGGACCCGAACTCTAAGCAGAGCAGTGGTGTGGTTGCTTAATCTCTGCTGATTTTCAGACCTGAACTCAAGAAGCCCAGGTGTCCCCCTTGTTCATCAAAACTCTCTCACCTGCCATGCCTCTCTCTACTCTTTATAGACCAAGACCTTCTAGGCTTCAAGTCTGACAACACCCCTGCCTCCAGGAAGCCAAGCCTCAGCTGCTGTCTAAGATCTTCCCCAAGCAGTCTGTCCTTGACCTGCTCATCCTTTATCAAAATTATAGTCCTTTGTTAATTTTGAGTTTTTAGTGCATTCAGTCCATGAGTATAGACACTGCCTGTGTTGTGCTTACCAGGTACCCATGGTTTGTACGGTAGCCACCACATCGTGAGTGTCCAGTCTATACTGAATGCATCCATTTCTCTAGCAAAATGCATCCATTTCACCCGCAAAAAAACTTGCTATCAGTGGTGCCAACAAGTTAACCTGCCTTCAAATAGCAGCTGGTGGCCAGGTGTGGTGGCACACACATGTAATCCTAGACTTGGGAGGCTAAGGCAGGAGGATTGCCGAGAGCTCAAGGCAGCCTGAACTACATAGCAATACCCAGTCTCAAGAAACCAAACTAAAACAAAACCCCAAAACCAAAACAGCAGCTGGCCTAAAAAAGGAGACCAATGGCTTAATTGGTACTAGCTTTGGTATTCTGGGTTGTACAGTACAGGGCTGTGGGAAACAGAGGCATGCAGAGGGAGGATGGAGGCTGGAGGGACAAGGATGGTAAGGATTCTCCTCAGCCAAAAATACAAGAATGAGTAACTGCTTACGAGTGGGCCTCTGGAAAAGCAACTAGTTCTCCGTCTGAGCATCCCACAGAATAGCAGTAGTGTAGTAACAGTGCCGTAGGTATCTCTTAGATTGGTGAAGGGATTACCTGAGGGCGTGTAGGAATCAATTGCTGGCACTGATACTGAGAATAGGGCTCAGCAAGCTGACTCTTCCCTTGGCAACCAGGCCTTGTCTCCCCGTTTCTTTACTTCCACCTTGGGTTTGTAGGACTTAGGACTCCCCAGGGAAGGTCACAGTCTATACTGGAAGATCTCACTCACCCCCAGGTCTCTTTCAGTTCAAAGCTACTGTCGAACAAATTCAACAACCAGAAAGCCTGAATGTGGAAGAAGAAAGGATTTGGAGAGGTCAGAAAGGAGTATTCTTGAAACCAGAGAAGAGAGGCAGAATTTCCAGTCCCACCCCTCTGTAGCACCTCCTTAAGTCCCAAGCTGATCCCACCACTCATTCTTGTGATCGGAGGCAGCCCTGGAACAGAAGGTGAGGCTGAGGCTCTCCACGGCCTGGGGCTGATTGGGTAAAAAACTGGACTCACCTGTGATCTGAGACGTCACCAAAGCTCAGCTCAGCCTGGGCCCAAATCCTTCTCCAGACCTTTTCTCCCACCAGGGAGGACGGACCAGAATAAAGGATACGAGGCACTGGGATTGTGCGACCTGGGCCTAGTGCTGGGTTTTCTACTTTATGCTGAGCACAGGCCACCCACCCCACCCCAGTGCTCTTGAAGGACTTCGTGTTCTGAGTCTGAGATTTACCCAGTGGATGTGAACTTCAGCCTGCCCTGGGGAAAGATGGCGTGGGTTGGGCAACCGAAGTTCTAAAAGGAAAGTGCTGACCCTGGAGGGGTCGACATTTCTTCTCTAGGAAGTGAGTCTCAGACAGCCTCTGATTCTCAAAGGGACCAAAAATATTAACATCTGCTGGTAACTGGGAACATTTAAAGAGTATATTTACAGTGTTTGAAAAGACGTTGGGTAATACTCTCCTACTTTCTTGGTAGAAATGAGAAAGGATGTACTATTTCCTGTTGCTCTTTAACAAATCACCACAACACGTAGCTTAAAACAACACGAACTTACTATCTTACTTACTATCTTACTTTTACTGGACCCAAGTCTTCTGGCTTAGTCGCCAGGCTAAAAGCAAGGTGTCAGCAAGGCCAGTTCCTTCGAGAGGCCCCAGAGAAAAATCAATTCCTTGTTCCTGCTTGCTTTTAGCCCAACGCCACCTCCCTTCAGTTTCTGTGCCCACTTTGTCAGGCCCTCTGACTCGGAGCCACCTCCCTACCTTCTATAAGCACCTCATGATTAATTGGGGCCACGGGTTTAACTGTAGACATGTAGAAAGAGGCTCTGCAGGGACTTCCGTTATAGCAGAGTTTACAGTCCTTAAATCTGAAAACAGCTTGCTTACCAAAAATCAGCAGAAACCTAATGAAATCATTTAGAAATGTTCACACATTAGAATATGCTAAAAACATGAAATATTCTAGAAATAATGAAGTATATTAATATGTATGAGTATGAGAAATTCTCCACATATGTAATTGCCAGGAGAAATGAAACTTGGCATACAATCTGTATAATATGATTTCTTTTTTTTTTTTAAGAATACAGAGTCCACCAATAAAGAAAATGTACTCATAGGGCCGGGGATATAGCTCAGCAGCACACCACCTTCCTGGCAAGCACAAGGTCCTGAGTTCAAGTCCTGGTACCTAAAAATAAAAAGTATACATATGAAAAAGAAAGACTTGTATAAATATTTTACTACTAAAACTATCGCAATATCATGAGATTAATACAAATTACCTTTGGCCTCTACAATTACAAGAGGTGCTCAAAGTGGTGGCCATTAACTTCCAGAGACGTTTATTAGAACAGCGAACTGCTGAAGTGTGTATACATTTTCTTGGTGGGCTCTGTATATACTTTTGTGGTTATATGTGTGCAATTTCCAAGTGGATCCCAAAGAATCTGTTACTGGTGTGACTACTTCTTTGGTGTAGGTTAATCACTGGATGGTATCTTTTATTTTATACTCCTTGAACTATATTTGAATCATGTTTTTAACCAAAAGTGTGTGTGACTTCTATAATTTAATAATATGAATGACCTCATGTTCATCATTGTAAGCATGACAGTTACAGCTCTGAGGTCACCTGTAGAAAGCTGGGATCAGCAGGCATAAAGAGGAGGCCCACATCTCTCCGCAGCTGTGGGCCTAAGTCTTCCTCCACCCCCAGCCCCTTCCTGCTCGAAGAGCAGAGAGAACAAGAAGGCTAGCACACAGTGGTAGAGCTTTGGTGATGGACAGGCTTGGTTCTGCATCCCAAGGATGCCACAGACCAGCTCTGTGACCTCAGGCAAGACTCTCAACTTCAAGAAAGCTCCATGGGAAATAGTGATAGTGCTGTTTACCTCATAAAGTCTATGCATTGCTTAAAATGATCCATTAAATACCAGTGCAGTATATAGCACTTGATGATTTGGAGATGTTATTAATAGTAGAGAAGGCCCAGGATTTAGAGAGGGTTCAAGAAGCACAGGTCATTGAGTGTCTTGGTGCCTTGTGTCATCAGCGTGGGGGTACCAGGATTAATAATGTAAGGCTGGCCTTCCAAGGGATCCTACTGTCCAGGGAGAGGTAATCAGTACTAAATAATTACCATGCAAAATAAGTATGCGTGTAGGGGATGGTGGTAACATTAGAGTTTATTTTATTTTATTTTATTTTTGTCTCTCTTTTTGAGAGAGGGTTTCACTATGCAGTTCAGGCTGGACTTGAACTCATTTTGAAGCCCAGACTGGCCTTGAATTCATGGTGATCCTCCTGCCTCAGCCTCCCAAGTGCTGGGATTATAGATGTGTGCCAACATGACCAGCAACATTAGAATTTATGTTTCCCTTAGGAGTGGGTATTGTAAGGTCTTTAAAACATTCTCATCAAGATTTCTATGGGTCATTCTGAAAGCTGGAAAAGAACCTTATTTAGATGGCTAGTTATAAGAGTGTATGATATATCTGTAAAAATCCATTGATCTTCAGGCTTAACATTTCTCACTATTCTCTATGAAGTTCTACCTCCATAAAAACATACTACACTGAAAAAATAGTATATTTTCCCATTTGGACAAAGCCAAGGGTCAGCTTAATGTGCTCCTCTGAAATTCTGTGCAAAGTGGTATATCTTTCTGGGGCACATGTTAGCACTTTGTACCAGATTCTTAAAGGAATTTGGGGCTCCTTAAAAACTAAAAAAGTACCAGGGAGTTCCTTCTCTAAAATTAAGATCATTCTCTTTGGGATCTACTAGGATTTGATTAAAGGTCAGAATACTAAAGACCAGGCTTTCCGGGAGTGTTAATTTAAAAAGCTAGGTACAAACTTTTGCAGGGCAGGTTGCACAACAAATACAGTAGCTACACGGGATTGCGGGGAGCGAAATGGAAATAATTCTCACCGTTGAGCTTTAGTGCAAGGAGAAAAAAAGCAGGCGTGGGTTTTTATTGGCCCAGCCTCAGCCTGCAGTCTATGGGGGAGGCGGTGCCCAGGGCCTCATGGGTGTGGGCGGAGCTCTGTTCCTCCCGCATCCCCAGGCTGGTGGGGCGGTGTCTCCTCTCACAGCTGGCTGGGCAGGTCCTTGGTGGAGGTGGGGACGTTTACCCACTGCCTCACCTGACAAGCCGTGAGGAAACCTTAATCCACATTCTGGATTCCTCTGGGACGGCTCATTAAGCGCCCACGTGCAAACCAGTATTTCCCGTGCTACTGTGTTGCACAGCCGCGGAGAAGAAGGAGGAGATACTGTTCCTGGGCCTGAGTCTCTCTCCTGGGACCTAAGCAGGCGCAAAGGATGTTCTGGACCTTAGGAGTGGAGACCACAAGGAGAGCACAAGCTTTGAGGGATCCGATGTGGAAATCTACTCCTTGTCAATCAGATTCTGGCTTCAAGGCCTCCTTAATGATGCCTTCCCAGCCAGACCTGAGCCTGACCACGTTATATTTCATCATGTCCATTGTTATACTGCGACTTATTTCATTTTTGCTTATTTGTGGCACATCTCCCGCTTCTAGAATGTGAAGTCCAGGGACCGTCTCTGCTGTGACATTACTTGCTACAACAGGACCCAACATGTAAGGAGTAAGCACTTATTAAACTGAAGGAGTCACGGCGCACTTAGGCAGTAGCTAACATGACTGTACCGTGTGGCGAAAGGTGAGGCAAGGCTCAAGCGACTTGGCAAAAACCATGCAAAGAGGAAGCACCATAGCCTGGCTTTGCCGCCAGGGTTGTCTACCTCAAAAGTCGGTACCCCGTGTATCGTGCTGTACTTCTTACCCCAGTTCCGTTTCCCAGCCCTGTCTAGTTTCCCAAAATGACAGTTTCTCCCAAGACTCCTCTGAACTTAAGATGAGAAACAGGGAGAAGAGACAGAAGTATGGAAATTGGTCTGAAGGGACCAAGAAGGCCAGGCAAAGGGGAGGGGCAGCAGGAGCGCCTCCCTCCAGGAAGCTGTGGTGTAGTGCGGCTTGAGGGAGCCTCGGGCAAGCAGGATTTTCACACAGCACTCACCCCCAGAGCCAGGGACATGCAGCCGGCTTCATTTTATGCACAGCCACACCGCCCATGGTGATAATTAACCAAGACCTTACTTGGTGCTACTTGCTGTTCCAAACCTACCTGTAAACTTGCTGAGTCCCAAATTAGCCTTATAAGGTCTGTACCACATTATTCGCATATTACTGATGAGGAAATTGAGGCTAGGGGAGCGGGGTAAGCAAACTGCCCAAGAAAGTACGACCAGGGAATGGTAAAGCCAGCACATAAACTCAGGTTATCTAGTTTCCTGCTTTAACCACTGTTCTACCCCGCGTCTCAACAATGAATTGGAGAATAAGGCTTCCTTTACAAAAGCGTACACCACCAGGTAGCTGGATGAGCCCCGACAGCCCATGTGGGCTCTCTGGCCCCAAACTGCCTCATGTACATACATGGAAGGAATCAGATTCCCTCTGGTTTGTATGTTCTGTTAAATAGGTATTATAGGGTGGTAGGAGTGGTGGGAATTCCACGACCAATTGAGGCTGGAATGATCTAGGTTAAGCTAAATTAGGCAGGTCCTTTCAGTGCCTTTAATATGCTGATGTGCCAGGGGAATCTCCAAAAGAGGACTTGAGGATGTAGCACTCCCCAAGGTTTGATTGCAGTGATGGCGAACCTTGTAGACACCGGGCAACTAAACTGCAGCCCAAAGCCCGCTTATTTATTGCAAAGTGCCGATGCTGCCCCTGTGCACGTTGTTCTCAGCTGCCGTTGGCTGCTGGGGTTATGCTGGGGTGACCTAACTCCGGGGCAGAGAGGCCTCTGTGTGCCTGCTACTGCGGCACCCGTGCGATCGCTTCACCACCACTGTATTGAGTACAGGACAAGGTGGAGTGGTGTCCCATGGAACAGAGACTGGGGAACAGTCATTAAATAAGGTTGCTGGAGGGGCTGGGGATTTAGCTCAGCGGCAAAAGCGCCTGCCTAGCAAGCGCAAGGTCGTGAGTTCGGTTCCCGGTACCGGAGAAAAACCAAAAAAAAAAAGGTTGCTGGCAGGAAAAAGATAGTTTGTCCTGAGATTAAACAGAAGTCTCTTCCTTTTTCTTCTGTTCACCTGGCAGGAAGAGAGGCACTCGTGTAACTCCTTTCGCCTCGCAGATGCCTTCTGTGGTGTGTAGGGAAGAATTTACTTGTTGAGCACCAGCTCTGCTCTCATGATTTTTTGTTGTTGTTGTTGTTTTTTCTCCGCTACCGGGAATCGAACTCACAACCTCGTGCTTGCCAGGCAGGTACTGTGCCGCTGAGCTAAATCCCCAGCCCCTGCTCTCATGATTTAAATTGTCTCTTGTGGTTCCCAACAGAGCCCTTTGGAGCAGACTTTATTGAAGGAGATGGTATAATGTTACAGATGAAAATGTTGCCTCTGTCGTCAAATAAATGTGGGTTTGCGTCTCAGCTTGCTTCCCCCTACCCTTAACGCAGTTTTTTCTTTTGAGACAGAGTCTCACTGTGTTCCCCAGCCTGGGCTCAAACTTGCCCCTCTCTTGCCTCAGCCTCCTGCAGTGCCAGGATTTCGGGTATGTGCCACCATGCCTGGTTTCAGCTTGCCATTTGATAGCTACAGCTTTGGGAACTTGGGCAGGCCACCTAACTTCTCTGTGCCTCAGTTTCCTCTTTTAAGTAAGACAGTAGGACACCTACTTAATAAGGTCATCGTGAGGTAATACACATTTATTATGAGTGGCTGAAGTGAGACCCATGCACAGCTGCAAAGCGGTTCCTTTTCCCCAGCGTCCTGGAAGCAGGCTGAGCCTATTTTATCTGAGCTTCCAAATCAAACACCTCTCCCATACCACACCTCCCATCACGCTACTCTGCAGTGAGCAGGAACTTCTCTTTGGGATTCAAACCACAGCACCCATGCACGAGTGCTCACATCCACTCGGCAACAGCAAGCCTGTGTCCCAGGGCCCTGACACACGGGCCTGGAGAAAGTTCCAAGCTCTCAGGTGCCCCTTCATAAGCCTGTCTGCTCAGGGAGGTCTCCGGCCATTCTTCTGAAGCCTAAACCAGCTGTGCAGGGGCATCATGAGAGCAAAGTCAGGGCACGCATCTCATCCCCAGGAGACCACTCAGCCCGCACCCAATCAGCCTGGGATCTTCCAAGCACTTGCATGAGTCTTAGCTGCTGCTGCTGCAGGGGAGGGGACCGAGGGCACATCACAGAGGCCAAGAGGGTCAAGGTTCTGGGCTTCTGCTCTGAAGCAAGGAAATGTGCTGCTCTTTAAAGAGGTTTGTGTGTTGCCCTTCCAGACAACTTTCCATATGGACAAAAGCTTGCTATCTGCTATGAGCTCGCGAAAGAGAAAGGCTTTAAAAACTCGTGATCCATTTCCTCATTTCCATTGAGCTTAATGGGGAAACTGAGACCAGAGGGGAAGGAGCTGCCCCAGGTCCCAGTGCGTTAGTGGTAGAATAGAGACTAGAACTCACAGCCTGAATTTTTTTTTACCAGCCTCTCAAACATCAGAAGCTGAGATGGGATCATTAAAAACAGATTTTAATGTTTGTTGCTCATATTTATGTTGACAGGCTTCTCTCTGCCCGTGTTCAGAACTTTCTGTGTCCCTCCCTGCCTGTTCCCACACGCCAAGTGCTACAGGCCCAAACAGGCCCAGGGAGCCAGCGTCACTAGGATCTCTCTCCATCCCTACCCCAAGGTTATCCGTGACTCAGAGAAGCAACCGGTAGGGAACACAGACATCAGGGCAGCAGGCACTTTGAGAACCTGCCCAAATCCTAGTACCTGCCCTACTCTTTCGTGTGTGATCTGGACCAAGCCACCGACCCCAGAGTTTCACTGACATCAGCCGCAAAATTAGGATAACTTCATCTACTATAAAGTTACCATGAAGCTCAGGTACCGTGAGATTATCCTAAGGTCAGGTTGCTGAGACGTTGCAAAGGAAGAGGCATAAAACATATGCAACACAAAAGTTGTGCAACGAGTGATGGTTTTTATTAGTATTGATATTTTAAGGTCAAGCAACGCTGTGCTTCCACATACCTGCCTTGGAGTGAGCTCTGCCATGCCTTTAGCTCTTTCTTCCAGAGGAAGATGTCGTACTGGCTGAAGTGATCAGCCTGAAAAGAGTGACCAAGAAAATTTGCTCTAGACTCAGTCTGCTAGGTTTCACCATAGCTCCATTATTTACTTGGAGACAAGTTACTTAGGCTCCCTAAGCTTTGGTTTTCTCATCTCTAAAACGGAAGTAGTAGCGGTACCCAACTTGTAGTCTTTCTTTTTTTCAGTTCATAGTCCTGTGAAAATTCAGTAGGATGATATTTAGCTTACTGGTTCATCCTTAAAAGGTGGGTAAAAGCCAGGGGCAGTGGTACATGCATAGAATCCCAGGTATTTGGCAGGGTGAGGCAAGAGGGTCAAATGCCAGGTCAGCCTGGACAACATAGGAAAACCCTGTCTCAAAATAAAGAATAAAAAGGACTAGGGATATAGCTCAGTGTGGGGAACTTGCTAGGCAAGTACTGTGGAAAAATAAGAACTGACCAAAAAATTAACTCTTATAATTTGTCCTGAGATCAGCTCTTTCTGCCCCGAAAGAAAGCATAGGAGATAAAGGTGCTAGATTGAATTTCAAGTGACTATTCATGAAGTGCTGAGTCTGTCACAAATTAGTCAAGTAATGTAAGGCATGATCTAGCCTTGGCATGTGCCTCAGTTTCCCCATTTGCAAACCAAGACGGTTGGATTAGGTGAGCCCTTTCAGCACTCTGAATGAGAGCAGATGAGAAGGCTGCACAGATCTCACTGTGGTTTCTCGCAGGGTCCCAGTCTTCACAGTTACCCCGGGGTATAGGAAAAGAGGCCTCATCGAACCAGTGCCTCAGATGAGAGTACTACAATAGGGACCCACAAGCCCAGCTTATGGATTTGTCCCTATCACCGTGTCTGACCCGGGGAAGTCACTTCACCTCTCTGAGCCTCAGTTTCTTCTTCTGCAAAATGGCACTTCGGATGGTACCCAGATCGTAATGTCCACATAAGCAATGTGTGCATGGCACTTAGCCCACCAAGGAAGAGCTCAGTAACAGCACTGCTTCAGTAATCACTACTAAGGCCCGCGGTACATGGGCCCCACTGCTGGACCTAGTGCTCTTGTGAGAGATAAGAGAGATAAGAGAGATAGACCAGGAACCTACGTCCATTCTAAGCATACTTTTGATGGTAATAGAACTATGAGGACAGCAGCCGTTCTGGGGACACGCCCGGAAAAGTGTAGGCCAAGCTCTGCATACCGATAGTCAAGATTCTCATGATTCCTCGTCACCCTCTCTGTCCTTCCCCACCCTGCTCAGAAGCCAGCTCTGCAGAGCTGCAAAGAACTAGAAGTGGGACAACAGGCAGTGCGTGTAACATTGAAGAGCACCTGGGGTTTGAGTCTTGGCATCTCAGCTTACAGGCGGGGTGTCTTCCCTGGACTTCTTACTCCACATCTGCAGAATGGACATAATAACAGACCCTGCTTCCTAGGGTGGTCGGAAAAGTTAGATATCGTGTATATGACATATAGCAAGCCCTCTACAACTTGCGTTAACATTGCTCAGGTGTCTACTTCGCCTCCTCCTGCGCTCCTTAACCACGCCACACTCAACACACCAGATTCTGGGTGTCTTTTTACCTGGGAAGCTGCATAGAATAACAGAGTTGGTCCGGGTGCCAGGCAGAGACCTGACCAGAGCCCTGACTATTGTCCTTAACCTTCTACTTGGTCATTTTCCAGCTCTAACCTTCAGCTTCAGTTCTCCCTCTCTGACAGCATTACCCAATAGAAACATAATGTGAGCTACATACATAATTTCAAATACACAGTAGCCACTTTTTAAAAAAATAAAAATAAACAGGGTAACAGGGAACACCAATTTAATAACATATTTTACTTGGCCCAGTATATCCACAATATTATCACTTCAACGTCATCAACATTTAAAACTCATTGGAGATATTTTATATTCTTTTTTCTTTTCCTTACCACATCTTTAAAATCTGGGTGGGCCTCCATCCAGGTTGACTTTGGTGACCACCTAGGAATGTTTTTAGCTGTCAAAACTCATGTGCAACAGGAGGAAATGTGTGTATACACCTGGCAATTTCATGATAGAAGCCAAGGAAGCTGCTGAGCACCCTGCAGTGACAGGACAGACCCTTATATCAGGGGCTAATCTGTTGCTGACAGAACCTGTTTTATGTTCATAAGCCACTTATCTGGGGCTCAGTCGTGACATGTGGCTAATCTTTTGGCCCCTGCACCTCTTTAATATAAAACATTTGGATATGAATTTAGAAAAGCCACTCTTTTACAAACTTGGACTTTGGTACATTCGTTGTCCTGCTCACCCCCAAATAACCGGCCAAAAGTCCAGTTGGTTGGTTCCCCAGCCCCTGGCTGGCAAAGGACAGGGCCTGTCTGTCCCTGGCTGGGCAGACCCTTCCAAAGCCACCAGCCCTCCCCAGGGAGCCTGAGCCCGGGGCAGACAGTGGACCTGTTGTTCTTTGCTGCACAGACAATGCTGCAAGCCCTGCTACCTGCCTGACAGGGCCATTGTGGCTGGAGAGAAAAGGGCTTTGTCAGGGCAGCAGCCGAGGAGACTGGGGTTCAATAGGGCCCTTTCTGTGTGCCCTGGTGAGAGGCCCCACGGCAGTCGGGGAGGGCCCAGCCCCCTCCTGGAGCAAATGGGGAGCTCGGAGCCCAGAGAAAGTCCAGCCCTCACCACCTCCTACCAGCGCCTTGACACCCCTGTTCACCTGAGTCTGAACAGCCTGTCTCACCGCACAGGGTGAGTTCAGGACTGCAAGGCGACTGCTGGCCAGGACCTGGAAGCCTATGGCTCCTCAGATCACAAACACAAATAAAAATAAATGCATTCAAGGACACGTGTGTGCACCTGTCTCTCAGGAGCTGGGGGCAGCTCTGGGAAGCATCTTCTTCTCTTGTGATTTACAAAGCTCAAGACACTAAGCGAGGCCCCTAGATTCTGTGTTCTCACCACAAGCGCGCTCTTCCCGTCACCTCCATCCCCAGAGCCACAGGTACCTATGTGAAGTAGGTGCATGTGTACATTAGCTTGATCGAAGTAAATACCTCACAATGTACCAAATCATCACACTGTAGGCCTTTAATATATGCAATTTTTCTCTGTCAATAATACCTCAATAAAGCTGGAAAAAAAAAAAAAACAAAAAGAAATCAAGTCCTAGGCAAACACTCTCAGTCTCTTGTCCTATGTTCTTGGAACAAAAGCAATCGAGTTCGAATGCAGTGCTGGTTTGAGGGCTGCACCGCAGCCAGCATCAGAGCAGACACTGTTTTATAGCACAAGGAGGATTTGTGCTGCTGAAAGTCTTAGGTAAGAGAAAAGGTCAATTTGCTTGTTAAATCCTCCTTTTCAGATAGCATAGATGTATATATTTTTCCATAACAGAGAATCATTTCCCATTACGGCCAATCATTCCATTTCTTGTCACCCTGTGTCTTCATTCAGAATGGTCTTGAAGGTATTTGCCTCCAAAATGAGAGGCAGGTCTGAAGGTGCTGGAAGACCCCTGGATTTGGACATGTTCTATTTTCGATGCCTGCAGCTACCCTTTCTCCTCCGAGCTCTGACCTATCTCCCTGGCCCCCAACCCTGTGCCAGTTCACACACACAGAAAGGGGACGAAAGGCCCGGCTGTGTTATTTGACAGATAAGGAAACTGCTCCCTGTGGAAACTATGTGATTTCTTTACAGTGCTCCAGAAAGGAGGAAAAAATCACATGCTGGGAGATGCCGTCCTCCACGGCCCAGTTAGGAGACCAGCAGCGGAAGGGCGGAGAGCAATGACTTGGGGGACAGGGTTGGACACCTGGGCGGCTCCATTCCCATCTCACTCTCTCATGCAGAGATGTCAAGGCTTACATGACACAATGCCTATAGGGGACTCCTTCTAAACGCTACCTCCTCCAGGACGTGTGTGACCAACATGGCCAGAAACAATCCCTGCTTTCCTAGCCCCCGCACACCCTTCAGGCCCAGGAGTAGGAGTTTATTTCAGTCTATTACACCGGGTGGCTTAGTGTGGCTGCTGACAGCGTGAATCCGATCCTGGCATTTCACCTTCCCAGCTGGGGTCCAAGACTAGTGACTTGATCATCTAATGCCTCAGTTTCCTTTCCGTGAATAATAAAGTTTTTTTCTCACAGAGTCGTGAAGGTTACACGAACTGGGATTTTTCAGCACTTAGAACTCTCTGGCCTACAGCAAGCGCTACGTAAGGGTTTTGATGGCCTCCATCTGTGTCCTCCAACTTGTTTTTATTGTTACCTAAAGGAGCAGAAATACTTCCTCACAAGTATGTGTGTATGTACATACAACCTGATATAGAAACAATTTATACACTTTTATTGTATTTGCACACTTCAAATAGTAATTTGGAAAATTAAAAAAAGATATTTGAATAGTTGATCTTATTCTTTTTTTTGAACTTGAGCTCACTTTGTAGCCCAGGCTGGCCTTGAACTTGCAACGATCCTCCTGCCTCAGCCTCCCGAGTGTTGGGATTACAGGCGTGTGCCACCACACCGGGCTCTAGTTGATCTTATTCTATTTCTCCGATTAACGTATAAAGCTCTTGGGGAAAAAGGAATAGCCTTTTTTTTGTTTTTGTTTTTGTTTTTGTTTTTGTTTTTGTTTTTTTGCAGACAGTCTGGCTATACAGTTCAGGCTGGCTTTGAACTCACCTGTGTTTTCCTGAAAATAAAAGTTACTCAGCAAGTAACCAGCCTTGAAAACTAGAGATCAAACATGCCAGCCCCAATCAGCATATCCTTGCCTTCCCTGCCCTCACCGTTCTCTTGCTTGGTGGCTACTCTGTAAGGCGGGGCTATGCTGATCGGGACTGGTATGTTTGATCTCTAGTTTTCAAGGTTGATTATTTTCCTTTTAGGCCTTATTTTCATGGAAGCCAGTTATGTATCCCAGGCTGGCCTTGAACTCAAGGCAATCCTCCTGCCTCTGCTTCCCTTAGGATTACAGGTGTGTGCCACGCACTCAGCCATCTGACTCATTTTGGTCTCCAACATTGCATTTCTTCTTTTCATTCAATTCCCCAGTCTCCTATCATTCATTCATTCACCAGTCCCCTTGTTTTCATTCAGTTCACCAGTCTCCTATCAGTCATTCAACAGTAATGCACACTGAAGACTTTGGGGCACTCACCACGCTGCTGTTACCTGCTTAGCGCCCAGCGCAGATCAGACTTCTGCGCTGAGTCAATGAATACGGCAGAGGAGGGGGAGAAGCAGGGCGGGAAGAAATCAGGTTCTTGACTCCTTCGCCCTTGCCCTTCCAGCCCCCGACACTGCCACTGCCACTTGGGCAGGAAGGCTGCTCCCTTTCTCGCTGTCCCGGAGCCCATCAACCGTGGGGAACGGAGACGCGGGCGCAGGCGTCCGGGAGGGCGGGCCGGGAACCGCCCCCTCGCCTCGCCCCTGGCACCGGGCGGTGACTTGGCAGCTGGGCGCCCGGCAGCGCCCGCACCCCAGGAGGGCATGCGCCCCTCTTTGGGCCGGAGCGCTGGGTCCCCAGCGCCCAGAGGTGCCCCGGACGCCGTCTGGCTCCTCCCCCGAGACCCTGCCCCCTGGGCGCGCCGTCGTCCTTCCCACCCCTGGCCGACCCCGGCGCCCGTGCCACGCTGGGACGAGTCGGGGGCACGGCCGGGAGCCCGGAGCCGCGCGCCCGCGACCTGGGCAGCGCCCGCGGCCCATGGAGCTGCGCGCCGCCAACGCCAGCTGCGAGAACGGTGCGTGCCGCGCGGCTGGGACCCGGGGCTCCAGCTTCGCACCTTCCTTCCTTTCTTGCCTTCTTCTCGGCCTGCGGGCGGGCCGGGCCGGGCCGGGAGTGGAGCGGGTGGCTCTGTCCTCAGACCCCTCTTAACGATCAGCACGGGCCTAGGCTCCACTCCCATCGTCTCAGCTGGGGGAGCTGAGCGCAGGGAGAGGGAGGAAAGCGAACTCGGGGGAGGGGGTGGCCTCACTGACCAGAGGGGCGGCCTGGGAAGAGGGGCGCTCGGGGTCGGTGTGCAGTTATTGCTGATTTTAGTACCTGCCCAGATGCGGCTGTGTCTGCCACCCAAGACAGCGGGGAGAGCGGCACAGAAATTCGCCGCGCCCAGACCCCACATGTATTTTAAACGAGGGGGAAAGAGCCTCAGGCAGGGTGGGGGAAAGACCACAGGCGGCTCTGTGAGTTCTTACCGCAAAGCAGAGGGCGGCCAAGGTCTCACCCTGCAGCTTCTCGGACATGTAAGTCTCGAAGCTGCTCTGAAAGGTGGGTAAAGTTAAGGTTTTCCTAACCCGTGCTGCAGGTAAGGAAGCCGAGGCCCTGAAGAGCTGAGTAACTTGCTCAATGCAATTCTGCGGGGGCCTGGAATGTAAGACAGGGCTTCTGGGTCCAGGCCGACCTGTGCGACCGTGCTTAGCTGCGTTCCCTTCCTCACCTTGTAATGACAGCCTAGGGGCTATCGCCCTTTCCCTCACTTCTCCTTCTCCAGAGAAGCACCCAGAGCTGGCGGCTTGGGTGGTGGGTGCTTTGGGTTTCCTGAGCCGTCTTCAGCCTGCCCCTTATCCCTCGGCAGACTGTTCTCCAGTCTGAGCGCACTCTGGGAAGAAGATGGGCGTCTTCTGCCCGGACACCCATGTTTCAGATGAGCGCTCTGCGCAGCAGCCACCAGCCTCCTCTCTTTCTTCCCGCTGCAATGAGAGAACCTCGCACGGTGGAGAGTGCTGGGCTCGCAGCTGTGCTGGCCTCTCAGGGACAGCCGCGTTTCAGTGAGGGCTTCCGCTCCACCTACTCGGGAGACACCTTCAAGGGGCGAGGGAAGGGTGTGGGAATAAGCTCGGCCTTGCCTGGCCCAGCTTCCCCCGGGCTCTGGTTCATTTTCTGGGCTCGGGGAACTCCCTCGATTAGCTCTTGGGCAAGGAGGCCTGGGCTGGATGAGCAGGAGCGAGCAATGCAGAACCAGTCTGATTAGGAAAGCCGATGACGGCTTCCTGTCTCATCTCCTGTTGATTGTGACACAGGTGCTGGAAAGATGAGTCTTCCATTGCAAAAGATACCTGGATGTCCCCGGTGGGCTCCAGACCCAAATCTACCACTAGGTGTTTGTGTGACTCAAGCAAGTCCTTTCTCTTCCCAGGGCCTCACTTTCTCCAGCTGAAAGTAGGAGGCTTAGACTGACTGGTTATGGGTTTTGTTTTGTTTTGTTTTTTTTCTTTTTGTAACAGGGTCTCACTATGCAGTTTAGGCTGGCCTTGAACTCACTTTGTAGCCCAGGCTAGCCTTGAACTCTCAGCAGTCCTCCTGCCTCAGCCTCCCAAGTGCTGCGATTACAGCCATGTGCCACCATGCCCGACTTGGCCAACTGGCTTTTAAGGGCTCTTCCAGCTCTGTTTTTCTGTGATTGTGCACCATGGAAGAGGCCAGCATTGCTCTTATTCTGTTCTACCAAGATGACACTCTGCCCAGAGCTGCCTGGCCTTGCACTTTGAACCCTTCTGGCACTACCTTGGTCTGAGAGGTCCTGGTCCGGGCTTACATCCTTGGTACTGGAGCCTGGGCCTTTGTGATACACAGCTTTAAAGTGCCTTCTGCCTCCCACAGTCACACATTCAAATGCCTACAGAGGACAAACCCATAACACAAAGGCCTGAAGGGCCCCACAGGAGTTGTGTAGAACACGTCCTGTCTAAGGAGCACCCATTGCCCAGCTGCAGCCACAGGACTCCTTATGGGATGGCTTCCCAAGGGAGGCATGCGGACCTTCTGCTTTGTACGTGTGGCCTCAAATGTGAATTATCATGGAAGTGCTCATGATTTTGAATGTTGGTAACAGACTCTTATTCTAAAATGCCTCTTAGGAGGCCAGATGATGCCTCCTTCCCCCTTGCTGCCTGCTTTGTTGGAGAGTGTTGGTTACTTTTTGTGCTTAGGTTTTGCTGAAGGTCTGCCTCTGGTGTCTGGGCTCATCCTTAACTGTCGTTGGTGTTTGTGCCGAAAGGGGAGGAAAGGGTGGGTTTGTTCTGGGCCATGAGGGCAGATTCAGGACTATAGACAAAGTCTGTATGAGGTAAGCAGTCTTTTTTCGTGGCCCAGAAGAGGTTCCAGTCACTGACCACAAACACCGAAGGGCTCAGCAGCAAGACTTGAGAATAGTCCGTTCCCACAACCAGGGGGCTCACTCTTCAGTCACCCTGAGGCCTACAGAGCCTCACCCTCTAATGCTGTTTCTGAACAGCCTCCCTTGCAGCTAGAGCTGGGGGAGGTGGAAGTGAAGAGACCGCAGGGTGGGACCGTGAGCTACCAGAGGCCCACGTGCCCCCGCACTGACAGCACATTCCTGCAGAGGACAGGTGCACTAAATCACTCTGGAGAGTTTGGGGACACTGCCTGGTGTGTGCAGCATCAGCGCTACCTGTTGGAGCCCCGAGATCCGATAATCTGTGCTCCCCTTACGCAGGTACCTGACCTCTCCTTGCCTCCATTCTCACAGACGTGATTTGGGAATTAGGGACATCACTTATTTGACAAGTGATTGTATACCAACAAAGCTCTAAGCTGGAGCAATCTCTGAGTGAATGTTCACATTATTTTTAGGCTGAGGCCCAGTGGGTGTGGGTGGAGCCATGCAATAATACAATCGTGGGGGTCGGAAAGAGCAGCCAATGCCATTTATAAAGCAGGCACAGATCCCCAGCGAGTCTCTCACCATGCTTTCCCATCCAGGTTCCCTGATCAGCCTCTACTGCTCTTCCCAAGAAGTCCTGTGTCAGATTATCAGCGGCCTTAGCCCTGAGGTGCCCCAAAATGCCACCTTGGACAGCTGGAAGGAAAGAATCAGGAAGAACTACGGTTTCTACATTGGCTTGGGCCTGGCCTTCCTGTCCTGCTTTCTCATCGGCAGCAGTGTCATCCTCAAGAAGAAGGGCCTCATTAGGCTCGTGGACAGCGGGGCCACTCGCGCTGGTAGGCTCCCCAGGGAACACAAGGGGCGGGCAGCGCACAGGCCAGCGGAGCCTGAGCCAGCTCCCCGCAGAGGGCCCCGGGCTGCCGTCCAGTGTGTGGCTGCACAAAAGACTGAGAATCCCACCTGCCGAAGGGAGACCCTCTCTAGAATCAGATTTCCTGAAGATTCATGATGCACGCATTGGGGTACAGACGGGGAATAGCCTCAGGACTGAAGATCAGACCCTTCAGGCTTAGTTCTGGCTTTACTTCTTGCCAGCTGCGTCACCACAGAGAAGTCACAGCTGCTCCCAGAAAATGGTAGCACAGCTGCCCCCCTGCCTGCGACAGCATCAGACTCTCCTGAGCCTGCTACACCTGCTCATCCCTTTGAGCTTCTTTGTGAGCTACAACAGCTACTAAGTCTCTCTCCACAGGGACTTGCTTGTTTGGAGAACAGGCTATGTATTCGTGAAGCAATTCTTGTTCGGGCGTACAAGAATTTGTTTACAGAGTTGTCACTTATGTTGTGCCAGTGGAGGGCCATGTATGATGCTAGACATGGAGCATCTAGGGAGTGGGAGATGACGCAGAGGCAATAGCGAGGTCCAGGGTAGTCTTCCAGGTAGAAGGAGCGCATGTGCAAAGGCTCCTAGGGAAGAGGACATGTGTGATTTTAGAAACTGAAAGCTGCTTGGCTTGGCTGGAGCGCAGAAGGGTGGAGGATGAGGTGAAGGTGGCATTCTTGGATGGTCTTCTAAGCAGGGCTGCAGAGTTGGTGTACAAAGTGTCGAGCAAGTGAGGGGCGTTAGGCAGGGAAATGACACAGTCTGACTGAGGATCTGAAAGATGCCTGGCTCCTGCGTGAAGAATGGAGGAGGGCACAAGGCTGGAGGGTGGGGAACCAAACAGGTGACCCAGAGGACAGAAAATGGCACTGAGACAAGTGGTAGATTCCACAGGTGGTTTTGAGAGGCAGCATTTACTCACCCTGATGGTGACTGGCTACAGTGGGAGGGTAAAACGGAGTCAAGGATGACTCAGACTTCTGACTTGAGCAACGAGGCAGATGGTGCTGCTTCCTGAGAGGAAGAATGCAGAGAGGAACAGGTTTTGGGAAGAGGGCGCTTGCAAGTTTGGACAGGTTCACCGAATGCTTCTGTGGAATGTCACACCACAGAAACAGCATGAAGGCTTCGATTCTGGCGTCTCAGTCCCTGGTGACAGGAGCCTGGCAAGAAAAGTATGTTTTCCCTGTGCCTCAATTTGCTCATCTATAAAATGGGCATAAAAATAATATGAGCCTTAAGAGTTATAGAAGACATATACAGGTTCAGTGTTTAAAGTGCTCAGGACCAGAAGTACCAGTAGGGCATCACTTAAGTAGGAGAAGCTGGCAGAGCCCACGTACAGTGGGACACCGACAGCTGGAGGTGAGGCGGGGAGTCAAGAGCAGTGGCCATTGCGGCTGCATGCTTCACTTCTGAATAAATGCTTGCTGGTGCTCAGAGGGGAGCAGGAGACCTTCCACTGACCATTTATAAAGACATCTTGCCTAAAACCCATTTTTACCTCCAATCTGCTATTTCAGTAACTTCTGTGATGTCAACAAAATATTGTCAGAGTGCTTAACGCATGGGGGTCACTCTGAGACCATTAGGAATCTGATGCAAAATGAGATGTCTTTTCTTTGGAAAAAGGGAATTCACAAAAAGCAACATCTACCGTTTTGATTTTCACAGAACCATCTCCAGCCCACCCATCATTATTATCACTAATATTAGTGGGTATTGAGTGTATTCCAGGCCCTCAGCCAAGCAGACACAACTCCTGACTTTGTGGAACTCCCATTGTAGTGGAGGAGATGCCAGAAAATATGCAGATACCTGAAATTATAAGTGATAATTGCTATGAAAGAGAAGGGCTGGGGGTTATGGAAGAGAATCCCAAAGGAAGATAATAGTGGGTCACAGAGAGCATCTTAGGGGAAGCAGCATTCAAACCAGACCTATGTAGTGTGTGTGGATTTGGGCAGACCTTAGTAGGAAGAATACTCTGAAAAGCATGAAAAGCATGTATGAAGGCCTAGAGGCAGAAAAGACCTTCTTGTTTCTGCAGAACTAAACGAAAGTAAAAGAATGGCAGGAAGTGCTTTGGAGGGGTGAGCAGGACCAAAGCTATGCATGGACTTGTGAAGGATTCTGGTCTTCATTGTAAGAGTCATTAGGAGCCATTGGCCAGCTATAAACTGAGAAGGGGCAACGTATGATTTGCATTTTTAAGAGACCACTGGCTACCATGAAAGGAATGAATTATTAGAGGGACAAGACTAGAACCAGAATAACCACTCCTGGGGCCATTGCCTCAGCCTGGGCCATAGAAGATGAGGCCTTTGGGTAGGGCGAATCCGGTGGTGCAGACACATGTGAGATGCTCTTGGGAGGCAGCATGAGCAAGGCAGACAGGATGTAGAAGAGGGAGAGAAAAGGGTCAAGAGCCGTTCCCTGGTTTCTGGCTTAAGCAGCTAACCACGTGGAGGTACCACTGAGTTTCATTCGGCAGGTGGGTAGGGAACATTTAAAATCAAGAGTTTCATTTAGAGCAGAGACCAAGATGCCTGAGGAATTCAAGAGCTGGTAAGGGAGCAGTTGGATTTACCCCTAGGCTCAGGAGAAAAGTCCAAGTCACAGATAGGAAATGGGGACTTCCTATGGAGCTTGTACTCAGAACTTGGGAATGGAGGAACCTACCAAGAAGAGGGCCAAAACCAACCCCCAGGGAGCAGTTAGAGGTCCCAGAGTGAAGGAGTTAGGAAAGGAGGCTGGAGAGTGTGGCCGAGTTCTAACTTCCTGTCAATTCCATCCCACAGTGGAAGGAGGCTACGGCTACCTGAAGGACACGATGTGGTGGGCTGGATTTCTCACCAGTAAGTGGGTTCTTTTGCTACGAATAACCGTGGGCTGTCGCTAGCAAGGATAGAGATGAAGGGAGGAATGGAGGAGGCATTTCTGTTTCTAATATAGAAAGTGTGAATCCAAGTCCAGATTCCTAGGGAAAAGTCTTGACGACCTTGACACCTTGTTCTCCTCTCAGATCACTTTCTCAACCCCAAGGCAGTCTTCATCCATGAAACTTCTACCCCAAAGAGGTTCGTACAGAGCTGATAATGACACAGGAGTATTTTCATAACGTTCTTTGAAGTACAGGGCAGTAATATCATTGCCTCTTGGCAGGGGGCCCATGGACTTCTACATGGTAGAAGCTGGGTCCCTGTCATGAAGGTCCACAGGTGACTAATTTGTTGGCCACTTTGACAGCTCATCTGCCACTTAAACTTTGCCCACATTTGCACACTGACATATTTCTTCCACTTTCCCCTCACCCTTTCTGGCTAACCACCCCTAGTTCTTTTAAGTGAAAACTTTCTACTAATTGCCCCAAGTCAGGGTTTCACCCTTGCCGTAGGTAGAGCTGTCACAGGGATCATCTACCTTCAGAGGATGACTCTGCTGTCACTTTATAGCAAAGAGAAGCAGAAGGCACCTGCAGGTATTTGCAGACCAGAGGCTCAGCAGACAGAGCTCATGCTCCTTGGGAATGTCAGATTTTTCTACCAACCTACCTGTCAATGTAGGCTTTTCAATCTCCCCAAGGAAAGAGAGGTCCATGGGCCAGTTGGTCCCCAGAGAATCAATAAGTGTAACACTCATTATTTGATAATTAACCCTTTCTACAACTTACCTTAAAAGTATGGACCATAACACTGGCAGTTCCTAAGACATACTTAACTGTGCCTGGACTAGGAACCAAGCCCATAAGAAGAGCAAGAAGACTTTTACCCACAAGCATCTTGTGGGACTTATCCTTACCATCTTTAAAATGGGAGGATTTGGTCAGGATAATCTGGGGCTGAGCTTCTGATCAGACTGTCCTGGGAGAAAGAAAAGGATTGGTACTTGAAGGAATGTTGGTCTGGCATTCTGGAGATGGTGAACATTGAATGAAGCAGCCTCTACCCAGATTCATCTGGAATGGAGGAGATGGTGCCTGGAAGTTGCAGTAGCCTCTTTTCTGCCTTTATTTTCTAGTGTCTGCTGGAGAAGTTGCCAACTTCGGAGCCTATGCATTCACACCTGCAACAGTCGTCACACCGCTGGGAGCACTGAGTATCCTCATAAGGTTCTTGTCCCCTAAGTAGCCATCTCTGGCTCTTTTCTCATTTCAGTTTGTTGAGGCCTGGAATTACCAACTGGGGTTCACTGCCATGTGGCATTCAGGCACCAAGATTGATGCCAGACCCTAGACAGAGGCACTGTGCTGTTCAGAGCTCTAAATCCTTGGATTGTTTGCTACACAGGATCTAGCATCCTGTTGATAGAGGGGCAGGCCAAGCCTAAACTAACTAAAAGGGATTTGCTGCCACCAGGCTAAATGTCTCCTGTAACTATTTTGGTGTCTCGATAGGAGAAGCATGCAAATTAAGAGCATGAGCCCCAGATTCACATTGGAGTTCTATTCCCACTTGAACACTTAGTAGTTATGATATCATGGACCAGTCACTTAACCACCTGAAACCTCGGTTTCTGGGTCTACACAATGAGTATGCTGCTAATACCTGACTAGAGATGCCGTTCCAAGGATTGAGTGAGCTAGTGCACAGAAGGCATTTCGTGCAGATCCGGCACCCACAGATAACCATGGCTGAGGGTTTGCTAAGAGATGAATGTTAAAATATGTCCAGTGGGCTGGCTCTGTAACCCTCTCAGCACCCTTACTGAGGCCAGGAGAGGTTAAGAAACTTGGCCATAGCACACAGGTTCCGAGTGGCCAGGCCTAGGTAGTCTGATACCAGAGCCCAGGAGCTTATCACAGTGCCCTATGGGCTCTCAAGAAGCACTCAACTAATGATTAGTAGTTTTTATTTTATTTCTTTTTCTTGAGACAGGGTTTCACTATGCAGTTCAGGCTGGCCTTGAACTCGCAGTGATCCTCCTGCCTCAGTCTCCCAAGGGCTGGGATTATAGGTGTGTGCCACCACACTCAGCTCTGATTAATAGTTTTTAAAATAACTGATTCCAGGGCTGGTGGTGTAGCCCAGTGGCAGAGTGCATGCCTAGCATGCATGAGGTGCTATATGCCATCCCTAGCACTGCAATCAATCAATTAACTAAATGTGGGTGTCCTCAGCCCCTCTGAGCTACACACTTTGAGCCACTTCCTCTGTGGGGGTCCTAGACCCCATCTATAGGAAGATTTGGTTTTGGGGCTAATCTTAGAATCCTGGTAAATCCCAGGAGAGTCTGACGGCATTTGCCATATGCCATACCCGGATACCCATAATTTCCTGTTTTATTTTGCTATCTCGACAACTTTGCAACATTTACATGGAAACAAGTAGAACCATGAGTCACGCTGTACAACTGGCCTAGCTGATTTCACACTGATGTAGCTGTGATATCAGGATCACATATCTGCTTAGTTTACACATCCCCAGTCCCAGTTGGGACTGAAGTTGGGAGGAGCCTGGGATCCACCAATGTGTGATCCCTGCCTGTGAAAATGCCGTCAGACTCTCTTGAATAGAACACTGTGGGGAAATCATTTTTAGCATTTTGAAAGGAAGACGAGAGATAGACAAGAGAGTTTAGACCTCGGTGTCCCCTGTGATAATGCCTTGAGCCAGGAGCTTTTTGAGGCCACCTGGGTCCTAGGTCAGCCAGCAGATTTCACCCTAAACTAACGGCACCTTTGTAAAGAAAAAGAAGGATGCCCAGGGACCACACCCAGCCTGCCTGATTTCTCTCAATCCTCACTCACCTTTACTGGTTCGTCTCGAGGATGTGAGAAGAGCAGAAATCAGGTCACCAAGGAGCATCAAGGTACCAGAGGCCTGGTGCCCAGAAAAGTGCTAACTCCAGGAAGCCACAAGGGTTGTCTTCTGTGAGGGGTGGAGGAAAACACGTTGCCTTTTTACTGTACTTGAACTTGAGCCCAAATTTGGGTTTCAATATTTCCTACTCATAGAACCTTGTCACTTTAATTTCTGTGAGACTCAATTTTCTTATCTATAAAACAGGAATAGTGTGTTTTACTTCACACAGAGCTGCGAGATGTTAGTGGGATGCCACATGCAGTTTCTGGCACAGGACCAAGTAGGGTATATATGCCCCAGGTGTAGCATCTGTAGTGGTCATTGAGGTTGTCTGTGTTGACACACGCAAGTGGAAGACTAGATTTGTTCTGAATGACCCAAGAGGAAGTGAAACAAGGAATAAAAATACAATTAAAGTGAGCCTACAATAGGCTCATTTGGCTTCTAAGAGGGTGAGCTCCTAGCTATCAGAGAAAGACATCTCCCAGCAATGCTAGGAGGAGTGTGTTCAGTGGGTAGAAGTTGGATGAGAACATTTTGAAAGGTTCTCCCAACCTTTCAGTCTGGGGATACTTTCGGTATCAAAGAAGCCCACCTACAGCACACACGGTCACTAACTCTCCTAGAAATGAGTGCCTATTTCAAACGCTGCTGGAGGCAGGGAGGAAAGCTGCCACAGTAAGAGAAGTGAGTCTGGGCTTCTGTTTCCCGTGAGTGCCCGCTCAGCCGCCATGGCTCTTCAAGACGCAGGGCAGGCAGAGCGGTCCTAACGGCCTTCTCCCGTCCTCCGCATGCAGTGCCGTGCTGTCCTCCTATTTCCTGGGGGAAAGTCTGAATCTGCTCGGGAAGCTGGGCTGCGCTATCTGTGTGGCCGGCAGCACAGTGATGGTGATACACGCCCCTAAAGAAGAGGAGGTCACGACTGTCACAGAGCTGGCTTCCAAGATGAAAGACACAGGTAGGCTTCAAGCAGCAGGGGGAGGAGGAAACCCTGGGTCCCTGCTGAAGGTCTGAATGGGCTCCCACCATCTCTGGTGCTGCCCCTGGAGAACAAAGCAAGCTAAATAAAGGAAATCCGATGGCTGGTTCCTTAGCAAGGCTCCTTCATGGGCCTCCTGCCCGAGTCACGGAAAAACCCCCTTTGGTTAGCGTGTTCTAGGAGCTGTTAATGCTTTATCTCATCCAGTCTCACAAAACAGCCTCGTGTAGATCCTGTTGTTGACCCCTCTGCAAATGAGGAAACTGAGGTCTTGGGTGTTCAACAACTTACTCAAGTCATTTAAAGGTGCGAAGCCAGGGTTGGGACCCAAGTTCGTCCAAATGCACAGCTGCTTCTCCTTTCGGTGGGTATCAGGCTCTAGATGCTGACCACATCCTTCACAGCTGAAGTGATCTGTGTCCCTCCCTTCCCTTCCCACAGGCTTCATCATCTTCACTGTGCTTCTGCTGGTGTGCTGCCTCATCCTCATCTTCATCCTTGCCCCCCGGTACGGACAAAGGAATATCCTCATTTACATCGTCATCTGCTCTGTGATCGGGTCCTTCTCTGTGATCGCTGTTAAGGGCTTAGGCATCACCATTAGGAACTTCTTTCAGGGGTTACCTGTTGTTCGGCACCCTCTGCCCTACATCCTGTCCCTCATCCTGGCACTTAGCCTCAGCACTCAGGTCAACTTCCTCAACAGGGCACTGGACATCTTTAATACTTCCTTGGTGTTCCCCATCTACTATGTGTTCTTCACTACGATGGTGGTTACCAACTCCATCGTCCTGTTCAAGGAGTGGTACAGCATGGCCGCGGTGGATATTGTGGGCACCCTGTCTGGCTTTGTCACCATCATGTTGGCTGTGTTCATGCTTCATGCTTTCAAAGACTTGGATATCAGTAGGACCAGCTTGCCCCATATGCGCAAAAACCCCACCCCACCTCCCGCCCCAGAGCCTGCTGTCATCAGACTGGAAGACAAGAACATCCTTGTGGACAATATAGAACTTGCCAACACCCCATCACCAGAAAAGAAGCCAAGAACCTCAATCCATGCGTAAGGAAGGGACTACACAAGCAAGAGGAGGAGCCTGATGATGCAGCCTGAACTCTCAACGTTAGAACCACTTGGCTGTTTCAGCACAACCATTGCCCATGGGCTGTGTTCTTTTTTTTGAGATGTTAATTTATACCTCATTGCTGTTTTGAGGAGAAAAAATTCCCTACCCAATAAGCAGTGGTCACAGCACTTCCTGGAAATAACCTCAGTGACCAGCTTTACACTGCACCAGCAGGTACCCCAGGCCTCCCTTCCCATTGGTTCCCTCTACACCACCTGCACATTAGGAAGAGGATAGAGTATGACCTGTTGAATGTAGCACAGTCCAAGAATTCCTTGAGTCTGGTCATCAGGAAATTCTTCATACCAGTTCTCTTCCTGAGACTGGATCTCCATTTCTTAGCTCAATAATGCAATAGAGTCAGCTCCCAGAAGTCCAGAGCAGTTTAGTAGCCTCCCTGTCCAGAGCCAACAGGTACACAAGCAATGCAAAATATCCTGTTGCTTTTGTCATTTAATCTTGGGATGGAAACAATACCCTAGCTGACTTTCTTACTGTGAGAGCCACCTGATGTCTCAGGGAAGCTTGGCCAGTGGGACAGCTATGAATCTCAGGGACTGACTTGGGTGCTGCCTTGGCATAGCCTGCCTGGTGGGGGCTGACTAGATTTGCCATTGAGTCCCTAGTTCCACCAAGGAGCTGCCCACGAGGAAGCAGCACACCATGCCTAACCCAGCATCACCTGCTATGGGGACTGCCTTTGTCCCTCACATTTGGCCAGAGGCATTCATAGAAGTCGAGCAGCTGGGGTTATTACCCCTTCCCCTTTTCTAGCTGCAAGAGCATGAAGGAAATGAGGACCACTGGAAAGGGAAGTTAAGGAGCCTGTTCATCAGAAGGAGGGAAGAATAGATCCTCAGCCCCACACTGGTGCAGAGATCCTTGTGGGGGTCCCTGCCTGCATGCTGTGTTCACTTCTGGTGCCCTGAGTGTGGCCAAGTCCTCCCCACCACTGCTGCAGACCTAGGAGTTTTGTAGGCTCCGTGGGCCCACGTTCTGGCTCCCTGTACCTGCAGCCCCAAATGCTGTTCTTAATGAATGTGATTTCGCTCTGTGACTAATATCACTGCAACACCACGGAGCTCAAGAATGGCAGTAAACTGAGAGCCTTGAGAGCATGAACTCCAGGGTTAACAACACAAGCTTCAGACTGTTTATTTCACACATGCGCCTTGAGATTCTGTGAACATGGAGCAATTAAATTTGCTCCTCTGGAGCTAGGAAACCAGTCCTCAGTCTCTGGAAGCAGAGATGCCAAGAAAAGCCTTCCAGCAACTTCTATAGCTGTGCTGTCACTTAGAGTGGGACAGACTGGTTTTAGAAAGGTCCACTGAAGACAACTTTCCCCCAGTGAACCCCCAAGTCTTTGCCAGGCCCCCAGAATCGTAGGTGTCCCTTTAACACCTCTCAAATTCCCAACCTTTTATCCCCAATTTACATATGCAGAAAGACTCAGGTTAAATAATTGGCCAAGGCCATACAACCAGGAGGAGATGAAATTGATATCTGGTTCCAAGCCCACAGTCTCAACCACCAGACACAATGTGTCTCTCCAAAAGTCTGTATTTGAGCCATACACATAATCTGATACTACTTCATATTCTTGTGACCTGTCCTGTCTCCTCATCTGAATGTAAACTCCAGGAAAGCTTGTCTTGATTTACTGCTTACTCTTGGTACTTACTTACAACTGGTTGTACTGCTTACAACTGGTACACAGTTGGTGTTCAGAAAAATCTGTTGATTTTCAATGAAGGAATGACTCCGCTCTAAATAGTCCTTTGTCCCAACTCATTTGGGGACAAGTTTTGTTTTGTTTTGTTTTGTTTTGTTTTTTGTTTTGCAGTATGGGGATTGAACCCAAAGCCTTTCTACTGAGCTACATCCCCAGCTCATTTTTTCATTTATATTGAAACAGGGTCTTATTAAGTCACTAAGTTACCCACCTCTGACTCAACCTTATCCTCCTGACCTTGCCTCCCAGAGGGCTGGTATTGCAGGTGTATTCCACCACACTCAGTGGGGTACTAACCTTTAATACAAGGCACTCCCTACCATAACCCTGGTATGTTAAGCAGAGCAACTAAAAACCCGATGCAGTTTCTGAGCTCGTAGCCTGTGGTGGGTGCTGCTGGGTGTCTTCACAGACAGTACCTGTTTGATGATTACGGCATTTTGAGGTAGGCATTTATATTACTCAGCTTTCTACCACCGCAACAAATACCTGAGACAATCTGCTTATAAAAAGAAAAAACTTAATTTTGCTAACAGTTTTGGAGATTCAAGTTTATGATCCCTTGACCCTCATGCTTTGTGCCTGTAGCAAGGTAGCATGGGAGAGCAAAATGACTCACCTCATTTCTGGGAAGTGAAAGAGAAAATGAGTCTGGGTTTCACAGTCCCCTTTGGGGCACCCCTTCCATGATCGTCCCCATAAATACCACCTATTAGCTTAATAGTCGCCAGTGCATGGGGGGGGGGCACTGAAGATCCGATGTTATTCCCATGAGTATATGAAGAGAGACCAGAGTTCTAGAATGTCCAGGCTCATGCATCTCATAAGTAGCAGAGACACTACCAGAGTGGAGGGAGGGCCTGTTAAGCAGGCAGAGGGGTTGGGTAGGGACTAATTTCCTAAGTGGGCACATCAGTGGTAAAGCGTTTGTGTTTCAATGGCTGCAGTGTCCTTATGCAAACTTAGAACCATGAGAGTCTAGAATAGTACAATTAGGTATCAAGGATACTGGGCCGGGATTTCTGTGAGATTAAATGATATCATCTGTATCAAGAAAAGCAGCATTAGGTCCCATTCAACCCAGCTATTCCCCTTCTGGGTATTTTCCCAGAATATCTAAAAACATCATATCACAGCAATATATGTGCCCCTATGTTCACAGCAGCACAATTTGTAATTGCTAAATTGTGGAAGCAACCCAAATGTCCATCCACCGAGGACTGGATAAGAAAATTGTGGTACTTTTATATAATGGAATATTACTCATGTATAAAGAAAGATAAACTTGAGGACTTTATAGGTAAATGGTCACAACTACAGACTATACTCATAGGTGAAATAAATCAGACCTGAATGTGCAGGCACCACATTGTTTCACTTGTGTAAACCTGAAAGAGTTCATTTAAACTGGGAGGTATGATAGGAAAACACTCAAGGGTAAAGGGCAACTGGGATGTGGGAAAAAAGAAGGGAAAGGAGAAATTTTGTATGTATGTATATACAGGATAGTTAACATAGTTGTTCTACTGTCTTATATTTCTTTGCTGAAAGAAATGGTCAATGAGTCCTTGACTGATCAATATTGCATGTCTCTATCTGTTTTCATGAGAAACCACTTTGAAGATATCAATATGTAATACAACAAGCATTGTTCATTTCCTACCACTTTGTTTATAACTCTGTATTGTCTGTACTGTTCTTTTGCTGTTTTGTAAAAGGTTGTCTGTCTGTTAATGTTTTCCTCCTTTTATTTTTAAAAGTGTCTCACACGTGTCAGGTCTTCAGGAAGCATTCCCTCCTCTCATGGCTACAGGCAGTCCCTCTCTCTTGGAGGACCTCAAAATGAGATGGGGATTCAGTGAGAATCAGGGTGGATCTGGTATAAGCTTCATTTTCTACCACAGGTCTCTGGAACCAGGCAGCACTCAAAACCTGGCCCTGGCTACACCTGTCCAGCCAGCCCCAGAGATCTTGGGCAAGTCTCTCCCTGGTATGATCTTTAGCAAGAAGATGAGTAACCAGAGGGTCAAAGCTGTCTTCTAGATACAGTAGTGGGAGAAGAGAAGAAACAGATGAGAAAATCTCAGTATCATTCAGGCCTCTAATGATACAAGACCCAATTAAACTAGACCAGCATCTATCTGGGCACAAAAACAAACAGCCCCCTCTACTGGCCATGGGGCAACACGCGGCTTCCTGGTGATTCCGGCTCCACGCTAATGGCCTTGAGGCTGGACTGAGCGTCTTTAGGAGAACTTTTTCTGACATTTTATGTTATGGGTCATATCTGGCCCAAACAGTAGGATAGTAAAACAAGCACACAGAAAAAGAACTGCCAAACCAGATAACATTTCAAATGACAAACAATTCATTTTAATTAAATACAAACAAGGAAAAAAAAAAAGGCACCATGGCCCATTCAAGTATTTTGCATAGATGTACAAATATTTGTAAACAATAGGTGGGCAGGAGAGAAGAGGATCTCTAATCCATGAATAATCTCTCAAATAAAAAGATAATTCACATTGCCCTGAATCCCAGACGCGTACACAAAATGGGTGGCGCAAGAAGATGCTAAGGGGAGGTGGGAATTGGCTTTGGGGTCTGCAGAACCTCTCCTTGGTAGGCTTCTCTAGAGATGGGACACCTTTCCAGTTGGCATTTCCCTGGCTTGCTTAGGTGTACAGCAGAGCTGTTATGCATGCATTGAACACAATTACTGATTTCAGAACTGGTCCTCAGTTCTTAAAATTCTTCCATACTTCTGTCAAATAAGAACAAATTAGGTCATACCTAAGGGGAGACTTTGTTAAAAAGGGTTATTGCAAGCAGTAAGAGGATACTGCAAAGAGAGAGGGGACTATTGTAATGCAGAAAACATTAAGACCATAAAATCCGGGAGAGTCTTGCCTTAACCATAAAAGTCAACAAGGCTAAAAGGAATCTTGAGCCAGCAAGTAGTTGCAACACAGAGCCAGGGGCGCGGGGTAAACCTCCCACAGAGCCAGAGACAGGGCTCTATCTCGCTGAGGTTTACATTTCAGAGATGGCTGTGGGCCCCTAAAAAACATTCCAGTGTTGTAAAACTGGCAGGAGGAATCATTTAGCTTCTAAAAAGATTTACATCCTTCTCCTTGAGCAAACAACTAGTTAACTCAACAGATCAAACTTCAGTGAAGCGTCCCTCCTCCCCACTAGATGGTAGATTTGGACCTATGGTTAGCCTGAGCCAAAAACATGTTTTTTCACAGAGAGCCCCTTTCCCCGCAAAAAGGGCTGCGCACACAGTTACACCCTGCATGCGGTTCTTTCCAGCCAGGTTAATTCCTTCCAATAAAAGAAAAGGCTTTTTCTGCCTGGGATTCAGAATGCTTGCAGACTCGGTAAAGGGTCTATGCGTTCTTCTTATTGAAGCTGTCCCCCTCCTCTCCTTATGGCGGTATTCTCATTTCCCTTCTCGCAATAATCCTTTGGAATAAAGTCCCTGTTCCTGTATGTCTCAACATCTTTGTATTTGACAACTTACAGCAGCCCATTGGCAGAGGAGGGAAAAAGGGACGCAGAATGGGTACTTTTCCTCCTGGGCACCTCCCTGGCCTGCAGAAAAATAACTTCCAGCTCCCTGAACAGAGCCAGGTGTAAAATGGTAAATTGAACTGGCTGCTGAAGCTGCCATCAAAATCAAAGGATTCTACCAGATTCTTCCAGTTCACAGTATAACTCATGGGATGGAGGCAGTATTCAAACAATGAGAAAATAAAAAGCAAGAGAAGAGCAAGCAGGACACTTCCTGGTGTGGTTCTGGGGGCAGAGGATTTCAGGTGTAAAAGGCTCACGCAGTCACCACAGCTGTGCACTGTCCCTTCAGGGTCACTGCTCCTGATGTGAGGGAGGAAGGCTGCACAGGCCACGGGGACTTCGGGGAGTATGGGGCTGGGCTTAGGGACAGTTTGCTTGTTTATGGGGAAGGGGTGGCAGAGGACATCTCTTCTGGGACCAGCTTTGAGGCACAGAGCATTTGCTACACACCTAAAGGAAAGGTCCTAAAAAGGACCCCAACATCACTTCTGCCCTGAGAGAAAGAAGCACATTTTCCTGAGATCTTTCTAAACCCACCCCACTTTTTCCCTCGGACATGTGTCCCACAAATCCCATTTATCTACAAACCCTCAAACCTTAGCTCAGTATGAGGGGAGTGCAGAGAGCTACATACAAGGAGGCCCTGGGGTTGGGGTCAAAAGCTCAGCCTCCTCCTTGTATTGAGGTTTTCGAGAGCAAACAATTGCTCCTGTAGGAGGTGGAAAGGGCCCTGGGAGACCCTCAAAGGAGTGAATGTTTGGCCAGCTCACCTCAGGAGAGCCACCCAGCACCTCTGTGGGGGCAGGGACGATCTGAGACCATCCTCAGCCACTTTGTAAAAAGCGTCCTATCTAGCAGCACACCACACAGCTCTCCTTCTGGGCTCCAGGCGGGACAGGATCCTCTGGAGCCAGCCTTCCATCTGCTCAGAGCTCTTCCTCTGAGGGTCGGGAAGGAGAACTAAAGGATAAGAATAACGGAAGCCTTGGTGGGAAGGAGGGGCGGGGGTCCCCAGTTCAGATTGTTCCACCATGGCTGTGGATGGCTGCCATCTCCGGGGATCTCGGACCGCTCCCTTGGTTAGAAACGCCTCTCCTCTCTGCTCAGAGGACCGTGGTCGTACCTGTAGACCGTGAGCAGACCATCAGGGACATACAGGCTCCCTGGTGTGTACTTTTTAAAAAGCTGGGCTTCCAAGGATGTCTGTTCCCTTTACCACATGGGCCGCCATTCCTGGAAGACCTCACCTAGATGTAGGTCAGGGAGTAAACAGGAAGGCCCTCACCCTGCCGAGGTCACGGAACACAATGAACACAAAGGTATGACTCCCACAGCCATGCCCTAAGTGCACTCTGGTCAACATTCTTGGGATCCAGTGGAGGAAGTTGAATTGCCACTCCATGAGGCAGGACCCTGACTCGTAGGTCACAAGCACCTGGTCCCTAAAAAGTCAGGACGGTTGAGGGTCCACTCACCAAAGCACCATGCATTACAGTGGGCTTGAGGGGGAAGGAGAAAACAGAATCACAGAACACTGGGAAAGAAAGGAGAGAACACAAAGAGCAAACCAAGAAATACCAAGAGTCTTGACCTTTGGCATGATGGCTCAGAGGGGGCCCAGGCTGGGTGCTCCCCCTGCTGTCTACGCTGCCTATAAATAGTACCTGTCTGAGTCAGAGTGACCCACGAATAGGGGCTGTGGGGAGGGGGCTTGGCTTGTCACATGCAGCCGTATAGTCAGGAGCGGTCACCTCAGCCAAACCCTGGGAAGGGCCATAGCCATGGCTGGCTTGACCCTTCCTTGATCCCTAAAAGTTAAAAGGGCAAGGTAAAGGCCCTGCCTCAGTCCAGCTGGGACCTCTGAGGGAGACAGAAGCAACAGAAGCTCCCACGTATGCTCCACCATGGGGCCTGCATGGAAGCTTCTCCAAGCTAAACCCTAGCCGAGGGTTGGGCTGGGCTTCTCCCGGTTGGTTCTCCAGCTCTGACGGTCCTGGCCATCTCCGTCAGACCTCTAGCCTGGGAGGGTGGATGGAGAAGCTGCTGCTCAGCCTCTTCTGTGCACTCCCTCCCTACCGGGGCTGTATATTGCACAGACCAACACTTAGAAGCCATCAGGTAATAGTCCCTCTGGGCCTCCCAGGACCGCGAAGAGGCACTGAATCAAGCTGGGAATGGTGGAGATTTGGTGTTTCCAGGAGAAAGCCAGGGGAAGCTCAGAGGCAGCCAGGCATGCTTCTTCTCGTTCCCAGGGTGATCACAAATCTGCATGCCATCCAGAATCATTGAGGAGTGAGAAATCTCTAGATGGGCTTAGATTCTGGAGCTCCTCATCCCCCCAGTCCTCTGTGACCTGTACTCAGGAAACTGCAAAGAGACAGAAAGGAGGAAGAAAGACATCAGCTTGACGTGAGTCTCTGGGATCAGTGGGAATTGTGCTCTCGCTTTTGACACTGGGAAGGGCAGACAGATCACCCGCTGAGAAGCGAGGCTTCCTGTTCCCCCAGGTCTGCAGGCGTGACTGCTCACCGAGACCACAACTCTGTGGAGAGGCGCGGTGTGTAACCCCACCTGGAGCTGATGTTTCACCTCCTCGCATTTCCTGGAGCCTGTCAGTGAGCTTCTTCATCTCATCCCTTTCTGACCCCACTCTCAGGCCTAGGAAGCTAGGGACACACCAGCCACAGAGAAGGGGCAGGGGGAGGGCCAGCCTTGCAGACCTACCACAGCCCAGACTGTGTGCTCCATCTTCATGGCCACCGTGAGATGCTAGCTACTGCTGCTTAATATATGCTTTTTACAGACAAGGAAATGGAGATGCAAGAGCGGGACTTGCTCGGGTCACTCAGCTGGGGTGGGGGGAGGTAGCAGGTGTAGTTTTAAAGCCATCACAGCGTGGGTTTCACCTTCCACAAGAAGCCTAAACACCCTACTGCTAATTTAAGGGACAGTACAGAAGGTACCAGATAACGCTAAGCTTTTGTTCATGGGTTTTATTCCAGCAAGAAGTATGAAGTGGTTTGTTTTCTCAATCACACAAGGGCATGCTGCTGCCCTCTGGTTCTTCCCTGGACTCACCTTCGGAGCAGGTGCAACCAGAGGCTGGGCCTGCAGGTCATCTGGCCTGGGGAGGATCTTTCGGCCCGGCACGGGGTTCGCTGGGAGTGCCTTCTGCGGTGGCCGAGGCCTGGAGAAATCCTGGAGGGAAAGCGGTAGGCTTCACTTGAATGCCAGAGGAGCTTGCTCTCAAGAAAACATTCCTGGTAGCTTACTAATCAAAACCACGTGAAAAGAAAAGTATACACTGCATGGTCCCACTTCACCAGGAACGGTGCGTCTGTGTGTACATAACGTGTTTGCACACTCAGGAAAAGCCTCTGCGGAGAGCAAGTTGACAGTATCTATTACAACTACCAATGATCCTCCTCTGATTGGAAAATTCCCTGTTGCCCCTTTCAGAGGTACCCAAAAGTGAAGTTTTGAGGGTGGACGTTGATGCACTGTTTGTGACAACAAAGAAAGTACGAATCAGCAACATTTCACTGATAGATAAAATAACTAAAATTATAAAGTGATACATTAAGTAGCATTTAAGCAGAATAAAGCAGGTTGCTGGGGCCAGAGATGCTTAAGAGTATGGAGTGCAAAAAGCTGAAGTTCGAGCTGTAGTTTATACAAAAGAGATCACCATGCCCCACACAGATGTCAATGAAGAGAGAATAGTCAGACAGGACAGAGGGGGCACCGGTAACAGAGGTCACACTGGGCTGAGGTGTCAGTAAGGACCACAGTGGTCCAGGTGAGCATTCAATATATCTTTTTTTTTTTTTTTTTTGTTTTTTTTTTTCTCCGGTACCGGGAACCGAACTCACGACCTTGCGCTTGCCAGGCAGGCGCTTTTGCCGCTGAGCTAAATCCCCAGCCCCTGTTAATGTTATTTTTATGTCTCTGTCATTCTCAACGAGGCTTTCTCTGATTACCTTACTTAACATCAATACAACCCCACTGTGGCACTTGGCTTTCTGATCCTTTTATCGTAATCCAACTCTCTTCCTTGCCCCTTTCTAATACACATCATTTCTTCACTTACTAAGCAGGCTTTTTTCTCTCTCTCTGCAACCCACAGTGGAAGGGAGCAGTGGCAGTTGTGGTGTCTGTGGGCCTTGCTGTCACATCTCAAGCTTGCAGGACTAGGTTTGGTATCCAGAAAGCGCTAGACATCTATCAGATGGACACATTATTTATTTCTGCACTAGTCCAATTTTTTTTTTTTGGTTTTTCTCCGGTACCAGGAACCAAACTCACGACCTTGCGCTTGCCAGGCAGGAGCTTTTTGCCGCTGAGCTAAATCCCCAGCCCCACTAGTCCAATTTTTTGAAATATACATTTCTTCTGTGGTTGTGAACAAAAAAATTTAAGGGGCAAAGAATGGATTACTCCCAAGCTGGTGGGGTTTAGGGCTGGAGTGTGGCTTAGTGGTAGAGCGCTTGGCTAGTACGCACCAGACCCTGGGTTCCATCCTCAGTACTGGCTGGGATACAGGGAAAGAGGAAGGGAGGGGACCCAGTTTCTTGATTGGTTCTTTTTCCTGAGAGCGTTGTTAATGAGCCTAAAAACGGGCACATGGCAGGCAAGCAAAGAGCACAGGAACAGCGCAGAGAGCCCAGGTTTTCTGCGAGAAATTCCTTGGTGTCAGAAAACTGAAAGCAGACCCCAAAGCTCAGAGAACAGGAAATTAAAGTGACCAAAGAGCCACGTTCTTCAGCTCCATCCCTTCCCCCAAAAGACAATGTGATCCCCTCCGTTCCCCAGCTTTGGACACCCAGCTGCCTAGAGGCCGGGACAGAGACCTTCCAAAGAAAGCGAAGACAGCAGATGTCCAGCTGCAGAATGAGCTGCTGGGGGCTTGACATCTGGGCGGGAGCCTCATCAGCTCAGCACTGAGCCTCCCCGGACTGCAAGCTCCCATGCGCTACCACTGAGGTGACCCAGCTCAGCTCTGCAGAGAGCCTCACAGCACTGTTTCGTGGAAGCAAAAACAGCCCCTGCCCCACTGGCCCACAGCCCCCTTCCCTGAGGGTGGTATCTCTACCCATGAGGTTGCATAAGCCAGACCCTGCGGTGTCATCCCCTGCCAAAAGAGACATGGGCAATGTCTATTTTCCTTCATTCGTTTCTCATCAGCTTGTCTCTGTCACCCCTGCCCACCCTCAGTCCCCGAGCGACGGCCCTCTTTCTTCAGGACGATGCTTAAGCCTTTGAACCAGTATGCCCACTCGCCATCAGCCACGCTTTCATTTTCTAAAATTGCCCCTTGAAGTGTAATAGACACATAAAAGGCGAACAGTATGTAAATATATGAGACGAATTATCAACAAGCGAATGCGCATATATTATCCCACTCAGGTCAAAAGTTTGAAGACTAACAGCCCTAGAAGCATTCAAAGGTGCCTCCCAGCCATGACACCTGCTTCCTGCCTCAAGGGGGCCCAAAGAAGTGATCCTTGCCACTGTCAAACCCCATCCCATGTCACTGTGCCCACCTCTGTCCCTGTCTCATGGAATGCAGACCTAACTCCTGACCAAGGCTCTGTGGCCCGAACACAGGCAGCCCTTCCTCCCTCTCCAGCCTTATCTCAGTACCTGGGGCCCAGGCAAACAGGGCTTTAAATTTCTCCACACTATGGCGCCATCCCCCACCCCAGAGCCCCACTGTGAGAGGGTCTCTGCCAGCCCCTCACAGCCTGGGTAACCCCTGTTCCTCCCTTACGTCTCAGCTCGAATGTCAGCTCCTCAGGGAAGCCTTCCTGCCTTCCCCAACTAGGTCACATCCTAGGAACCTCTGCTTCCTAGCGCTCAGCACTGCTGTAAGTACACGCATCCCGGAGCCCCTTCCCCAGCAGAATGCAGGTCGGCTTTGCTCTAGGGCACCAGGAGGACACACGTGCACATCCGTGGAAAGGACAGAAGAAGGGGTAGACTTTCGGCTGCCCCCTCTCCAGGGCAGTCAGCACCGCCCACCCCACCACCCCACCCCAGCGCGTGCTAGCAGGGACGGAGCTGAGAGACTGAGATGGTGATGCTCGAGGGCGGGTGAGACCTGGGGTCAGGGGTGAGTGTCCTCCTCACAGACTGCGCCACCTTGGATGAGTCCTTCAGCCCTGTGAGACTCAACGACTTCAGTAGGCGAGGGCCGAACAACCCAGGGCTCCCTCTGGGGAAGAAGGAGGCTGGGCCCATCTTGGCCACAACCTCCTCTCAGAGCAGCAGCCTCCCCTGCCTGTCCTTGGAGAAACCCCACCTGCGCCCCAGGGCCAGGAGCAGCTGTGCTTGGGATCTGCATGTGGAGAGACTTGTCACCGGCTCCAGCACCCAGGAGACCGGGAGAGGGAAAACAGGCAGGACTTCAGTCACTTCCCCACCCCTCTTGATTCCTGCTGTTCCTGACATCGGTAACCTAGCGCTCAGCACCTTGAGGGAACTAGGAGTGAAGCCGGCCCTCCCATGCCTTGAGGAAGCACACAGGGTGGGTTTTGGGGGAAAATGGTCCAAATGCCCTGCTCCCTCTTCCTCGAGCACCTCTGCACTCCCCCCCCCCCCGTTTCTCTTTATACCTTTGCTTTTTGCCTCCTTCTTCCTTTCTCTCTGTTTTGGGCTGAACTGTGCCCGTCCTCCCAGGACCTCGGCATGTGGCCAGACTCAGAGATAAGGCCTTTAAAGAGTGACTATGCTCAAACGAGGCCATGAGGGTGGGCTCACGTCCAACCTGGCCTCCTAACAGGAATGCATCTGGGCCCACGGACGCCACACAGAGACACACAGGGACAGATGGCAGGCCACGCGAGGACACAGCAAGGAGGCAGCCGTATGCAAGCCAAGGACAGAGGCCTCCGAAGCCAGCCCTGCCAGTACCTTGATCTTGGACCTCCAGCATTGTGAGGAAAAATTTAAACCTGTTGTTGAAGCCATGCTTTGTCACGGCAGCCTCAGAAAACCGCTGCACTCCCCATCTCCTCCTCCCTCCTTCTCCTTCCTCCCTCCTTCCCCCTCCCTGTGAGTCTTTCCCCTCCCTTCCTGTGTGGGTTTTCCCACCACACCCCTGCCACACACACAGGAATGCAAGAGTCCCCGTTCCACACAGAGAACCAGGCTCGATGCCCTTGGCTCAAACTGCCACTGCCCCCATGCCAAGGCTTTTGCAAAGCCTGCAGCCGACCCCACAGTCCTCAGGCCTGGAGCAGCTCTATGGAGCCCTCTGGACCATGCCCAGGAAATGCAGGTTCACCTGAGGAGTCACCCAAGACACACAGGCCAGTTGCAGAGGGCGTCACACCCGGCCACCACCCCAAAACACCTGTGTCTGCCCTGGGGCACAATGTGCAGAGTGAAGGAGCCCCTGGATGGTGGCTCTGCTTCCACAAACATCGGTGGTGGAGGAGCCTACACCCCACTCTCACCTGCCAGAGGCCCCGGCCCCTTGACCTGCTCCCCAGTGAGCAAGGCCTTGGGGTACATCCCTCAGAAGGATTTCCCAGGTAGTGAGAGACACTGGCAGGAACATTTCAGGTAGGTACTATGATGAGAGCAATTCTGGGGTATCAAGCCCAGCCTGGAGGGGTGAGAAAAAGCCCTTGCAGGAGAGGCATCTACGTGTGTGTCTGAGGGTGAGCAGAAGCTGGCCAGGCAGTGCATCAGATGGAACCGCATTTGCAAAGACTCAGAGGGTAGGAAAGCACAAGGAACTACAAGAAGTTAATTTTGGGTAGAAGGTGAGTGGTTTGTTGTTAGAAAGTCAGCAGAGCAGGAAGGAAAATGCTGTCTGGATTAGGGGACGTCTGGGGAGTACATTTCCCCACACTCAGGGCTCTAACTTTCTGCGAGTTCCCTGGATTCCCCAGAATGCAGAAAAGGCAGTCAGCTCTGACCATTCTTTCTTCCGGGCCTCGGACATTACCCATGGCAGGTGCAGAAAACCCACTTACCTGGGTGAGGGTGTAGTTTGGTGCTGGGGGCACAGGCCGGCTTGGGGGAGGCTTCCTGGGTGATTCCTTTCTCTCTACTTGAGATGTGGGCTTTGGAGAGCCGCCATCAGTCCTACTTAGAAGGGCTAACAGCGGTGCAGGTAAAGCCCCGCCTTGCAGAAAGTCTGGAGGGGGTGGGGGTGGAGGCTGGGAGGGCTTCCTCAGAGGCTCGAGGGTGCTGGTCACCTGCGTGCACAAAACAAGGAACTCCTGAGACAAGGAAGTGGCAATGTGCTTCAAACTCAGGTGCACCCTCTGAATCTCATCAAGACGACCCGGGGTAGGACTGACAGGTGCACCTGTTAGACACCCTAGGATTTCAGGGGTCAGATGCAAACTTTAAGGCAATCCGGGGACAACAGAATCAACAAGCATATCTCCCAAGCCAATAAATGGCATTTATTACCAATCCTACAGCTCTTGGGAAAATCCAGGTGATGCTTGAGGAATAGAGAAGTAGCAAAGCTCACAGGGCAAGGCCCTTACCTTTCGCTTGCCCTGCGGTGTCTGCAACTTGAAAGTTGGGTTGGCATGGCCAGTTCCGCCACTTGGAGACACCCTGAAGGGACAGCTGCAGACACAGAAGTGGGGGGCAGGTTCAGCAAGGGACAGCAATGGAGTCTTTCTGACCGCTTTTCCCAGGCCCACTGTGGAGGAAGAGGAATTGGCCTCTCACACCCCACCTTCCTCGGCAAGGACACTGTGTGGCCAGTGGAGAACTCACAAGGAGAGAGAGTTAACCTTGCGCAAAGCAGAGCTTTCTCAGCACCTTCTCTTTTCTTTTTTTTTTGTCTTTTTGAGACAGGGTCTCACTCTGCAGTTCAGGCTGGCCTTGAGCTCACTTTGTAGCCCAGGCTAGTCTCGAACTCCCAACAATCCTCCTGCCTCAGCCTCTGGAGTGCTGGGATTACAGGCGTGAGCCACCACGCCCAGCTTCAACACCTTCTCTTTATCGGCTGAAGAACTTTGGCCCCTCAGCAGACAAAGGCTATCACTAGCCATCAACCAACCCACCTCAGGCATGAATCCAAAAAGACAGATGTGGTATTTAAATCCTTTCCAAAACAAGTGTAATTTAATAGAAGACTCAGAAAATATAGACCTTCAATAACCAAAGAAATGAATCACTTAGGAAAAAAAAACTGATTTCCTTATTGGGTTGGTTATCTAGCCACCGCTGTCTCTGACTTGGGCTAGTCACCCCTTTTCTTTTGCCTGGCTACCTGCTCTTTAAAATGGGGGGTGCTGTGTATGCTGGCGTTTGCTGTAATCCCAGCACCTGGAAACAGAGGCAAGAGGTTCGCCCTGAGTTTGAGGCCAGCCAGTGCCACACAGTGAGTTCAGCCTGAACTACATAGTGAAGCTCTGTTTCACAAACCTAAATTAATTAATTAATTAATTTGTAAAATGAAGGGAAAGCTGATTAGACAAAGAATGGTAAATTTTACATTGCAAATCCAATTAGTTGGAACATCCTGTCAAGGGTTTGAAAATGATGAACATATTCAGTGGAGACAACCTACAGTGGGATCACTTAGTAATGTCTGTCACTGGAGACCACTTTCAATGAGATCATCCTATAATGTCTGCCATGGTCACAGATCACAGCACACAGAAGGGGAGAGAGAACAACATGTATCTCACATTCATCTTCCTGAATTAGACCCACTACCACAAACTCTCTCACTAGGTACTGTTCCCAGGCAGCTTTATGATACAGAAGGGGGCTCAAGGCCTTTGAGTCCTTCACGGCACCCTTTCCTACCTGAACTGCTGCATCAGCTTGGAAGGGAGGACAGAGGGCTTGAGCTGGTTCAGCTTTCTGTTCTGTCTGCAGTAGTAGATCAGCATAAGGACGGCCAGCAGGAAGAGGGCACTGAACACGCCAGCGATCACGGGACCAACACCTTCCAGAGGAACCCAAGGGAGAGACTTAGAGGTTATGCAGGCTACAGCAAAACAAGGCGCTCCTGATTCTTCAGACATTTGATTCACATTTAATTTGTTTCATTTATTTTACCTTAAAGGTATAAAACCCACAAATTAGATACTACCAGGATACCTCTAAGGTGCTGTGTGCAGATGTTATAAAGGCCTGATAGCCACTTCTACTTAACTGAAAAAATCTCTTTTGAGGCAGGCAATTCAGGCTCTATGATCATTTGCCAACAGTTTTCAGCCTGAGCCATGTTTTTCCGGGCACAACGCAATGAACACAGAACACCGAGAGACGGATTTAAGACCAGAACTCTCGCCCTTGATCTGTAATTTTACATTTGGTTTCATCAAAACTGCCTCAATGTTCTCACAAATTATAAACTTAAATGTACAAATATATGTGCTCTAGTGAGACATACTTTTATCTGTTCTACACATGAGGGTTTGTTCCTTGAAAGACTTTTTTTTTTCAAAGTACTTTGCTATTATTAAAAGAAAAAGTTTGGAAACCACAGGCTAGAGTCCGTGAGATTCCCCACCAAAAAACTAAACCTTTTCTGTGCCTGTTTCCTCATTTTACTCTTGTTCATGATTATTTTCAAGTGCCCAAGAAAGGACTCCGACTAGTCACCACCCAATTCCTCAAAACAGACGTGAATAGTCAGTGCCCTACAATTTTCATTGCCCTCTCTCTCTACAAAATGACATCTGTCCCTGGGGCGTCCACCCCTCTCACAAAGGTAGGCAGAGGCTGCAAGCAGCCAGGCACTCACTGTTGGGGGGCAGGGGCCCACTGTCTATGCTGCCCCCGTGGCCAGGCGTGTTGCAGAAGGGCGGGGCCCAGCCTGGGAAGCAGTGGCAGTTCTGGTTGTTGTTGCAGACCTACAGCGCGGGTAGGGTGGAGGTGTCAGCGCCCCAAAGAGCTCCACCTCCCTCGGGTTCTGCCCCATGCGTTACACCAGCCCCTGGGAACACACACCCCGTGACCATTGCACTTCTTCTCACAGCCTGCAGTTTCAAAGACGGAGGTGTTCCTGCACTGTCCCTCGAAGCACACCTGCAGTGAGCGGGAAGCACAGCCGTCAGTAGGACGCATGGGACACTGGGCAGGAAATGGACGTGGGGCCGTGTACCCAGACAGGCAGCCCACTTTGCATTATTTGGTATAGTGGACAGTCAGAGAGCCTAAAACTGCTATTACCTTTGTGATTAGAGAGACACAGCAACAATTATATTGTTAAAATACTACATTTAATACATGTTATAGGTTACTACTATAAAATGTTATATGTTACTACTATATTGATTCATTAACAAACTATCATTAACTATCATTAATTAACAAACTATCATTAGCTACCATTTTAACATTACATTTAAAAACAAAGATTCTGAAGCAGCCTACTCTGTGCTAGAAGATATACCAAGTATTTCGTATTTTTATACTTTCACTGTCATAATTAGCGATGAGATACTGGGCAGTATTTCCCCCAAGCTTCCCTAACTTAAACCACTTTAATGCATATGATAACTAATGATAAGCATGAAAATGATGATGGCTAGCCCATCTAGATGCTTTGCAGACATGATCTGAATCAAGCCTTAGTCTACGATGACAGTCTACTGCTATGACTATGCAAACTTTCATAAAAGAAAGCTACACAGGCTCGGAAGGTGAGGAAGCTGCAATTTGAGCCCAAGCATTGCGTCTCAGTTTTCCCTTTCTGCTGCTCAGCTCCTGCATGAGGCTGGGGGAATGGACTCACATGGTTGAAGCCACACTTTGTCCCGGTCATCACCAGTCCTGGATCCAGCATATCACCCTCTTCAGGACCTCGGTAGACATGGGTACCCCGGCATTGGATCTTCTTCCCATTCATGACGATGGTGGTTTCGATAGCTACTGCGTTGGACTCCAGGGGCAGCTCCCGAGAGCTCTGACACTGGATCTTCCCACACTTGGCATCTCTGAGCCAGAGAGACAGAATCAGAGGCTGGGGTACTGCGCATCTTTAGTGTTTCTTGGTCAAGAGAGCACGCTTGGGTGAGGTAAGGAAGAAGTCTGGGGTAACTTAAATGCTGTAAGGACCCACCAGGAGAGACCCCACGTGGGCTTAGATCAAGGCAGTGAAAGACAGTCATGTCCCTGAGCAGATCTAGACAGGGAACTGGTTTCGGAAAATCCTAACTTCAAAGACACTTGCGTGGCCTGAGCCATCCGTCCCCTTATGCTCCCTTTACCACCATCCACCCAGGCACTCCAGCCAGATGCCTGGGGTAATTTGACACCTCTTTCTCCCTTGTTCCTGGATTTGAGCAGTTTCCAAGCCCTGCCAGTTTCCCCTTCATAGCCACTACAATTTGTACCATCATACTCTCTGACCCAAGCTTTAAGAAACCAATTTCCCTGCCTTTGGTCTTGCCCTGTGAGAGTGAGTCTATCTTCTGCTGTGTTGTCAAGCCAAAGTCCAGACGCCCCTAACCAGTCACTTAAGCTTTTTCATAATTCAGCCCCTGCTTCCCTACCCCAGCTCCTTTCTCACAGCTCCCTCTCCTCCATACTCCAAAATTATACCTTAACTATATCAAGCAGCTCTCAGCTCTTCCAACTGCTAGTTTCTCTCCAACCACCTCCCTACCGAGACCACCCTTATCACACACCAGCACCACTCCCCACCCTGTGCATCTGCGTAACTGCTCCATGACTTGTGACTCCCCTGCATTAACCCCAGGCTACTAAGACAGGTTGAGTGGCTCTCTCTACATTTTCAGTATCACTGTATTATTTATTAAAACCGTTACAAACAGCACAGTGTCTCACTGTAAACACTCAATGGATAGTGAGTAGGTGGATGGCCACATGGATGGATGGGTGGGTGGATGGATGGGTGGGTAGATGAAAGGATAAGATAGTTGGATGAGTGGTGGATGAATAGATGGGTAAGTGGATGGGTGGATGGATGGATAGGTGGTTAGAATGAATGAATGAATGAGTGAATGAATGAGTGAATGAATGAATGAATGAGTTAATGAATGACCTATTCAGATAAGGGCATAATTAGTATTCCACAAATGATCCAAGAGAGCCCTGTCCTACTATAAGACCGACCCCAAAGGAAGACTGATCAGCTTTCTAGGAAGCATTGCCTCCCACATTCTCCCTGAGCTCCTCCTCCTCAGGCCTAAATGCTGCATTGTCAAACAACAGGCTAAGAATAGACACAAACTTCATCTGATTTCTGTAAAGGCCAGCTCTGGGGCCATCGTGCCGCTGAGCTGGTGGCAGTGAGCAGGACAGAGCAGGAGTTAGATCCTCCCTCCTCATCCCGGGGACTGCTCTGTGTCTTTACCTCATGTTGCATTTCCTGTTCTGACCATGCATGTCTTTCCCACAGTTTCCAAACTCGTCTCCTGCCACATTCACCTTCTCAAAGCAGAGATCAGGGGCAGGCCGGGCTCCTGGTGCGCAAGAAACGAGCGAGTCAGTACCTAGCCTGTCTGAGACCCCCAGGGCAAAGCCAACCTTTGGCAAGGCGATGGGGTTAAGAAGGTTTTTCCTGTTCTCCTGCCAGGTATCATGCTCCCATGTTCTCACCAAGACCAATTCAGAGAACAAGTTTTATATTTGTTGTTCTATCTTATCAAGGATTTATACCTCTGGGGGTTTGTATGCTATGCCTACTGTCTACTTAAACAGTGCTGTCTTATTTCATGATTTTAAAAATAGGTAATGTAAGCACAAAGCTGTGAAGATATAAAGAATGTCTTTGGAACTTCTCCTCAGAGCCATCCTGTTCCTCTTGCCCCACATTCTGAAAAAGCAACAATTAGCAGTGAATTTTCTAGAAACAACTGTATTTCTGCACTCCGCATTTCCTGGACACAACCTGGGTGTGTCTTCTAGAGATAACTTAATAAAGAAGGAAGTATATTCTAGTCACTGTTCTGTACCTCGCATTTTTACTTAGGTTGTTGTGGGAGATGCTTTTACTCAGTACGCAGAATTGCCTCCTTTTATTTATCCACAAAGCACTGTGTTGTACAGATTTACCAGAATTAATTTAATTGGTTCTTACTAAAAGGCACAGGCATTGTTATCGCTTTAACGAACAACAGTGCAATTAACATCTCCGAAAACATATCTTCAGATACTTATACAAGTACAACTGTAGGCTATGTGTCTAAGTAATGGAATTGACGGGCCCAATCCATGCATTTAAAATTCTTCTATCTCCAAATTGTTTCCATGGTGGGTGTACCTATCTGATCCCTCACACCCTCCAAAACATCGTATTATGGCTGTTGTTGTAGTTATTATTATAGTGCTATTATCACAGTAACTTTCAATCTTTATAATCTGATACATGAAAAATTCCACTTTGTATCAGTCTTAATTTGCTCTCTCTTAATATGACAGAGGCTAAAACCTTTCCATAGCTCAAGGGCCATTCACATTTGCTTTTCTCTCTCCATCTTTTCTCCTTTCTATCTAAATTATTGTTATCAAATAGCTGATTCGGAGAACTAAAAGCACCAAAGGATTGGGGAGATCACTGCCCACTGATTGGCTCTTCCTGCATCTCTACCCTGAGCCAATGGAGGAAAGAAGTGAGGTTTTGTTTTCTTTTGTTTTGTGGTACTGGGAAGTGAACCTAAGGTTTCATACTTTGATTCTCACTTTGAATCTATTTTTTTCATGATAGTGGGGTCTTATGCTTGCCAGCCAATAGCTCTCCTGCTAAGCTACCGAGGCGGGGTCTGGAAGCGTTTTCTTTTTTTTTTTTTTTGGTTTTTCTCCGGTACCGGGAACCGAACTCACGACCTTGCGCTTGCCAGGCAGGCGCTTTGCCGCTGAGCTAAATCCCCAGCCCCTGGAAGCGTTTTCAAGCCTAGCTGCTGAGCCACCCTGAGTGGCTGGCAGGTGGGGCTGCTCACAGTGGATGAGGGCTGCACTCCCCAGCAAAGCCCTTACCAGGGCCCCACAGCTGCTGGCACTGGTCCTGGTAGGTGAGGCACATGCCATTGTAGCAGTAGGCCTGGCCGCCTTCACAGAGAGTACCGTCCATCTGGTAGAAGTTGGTGGGGCAGAGGGGAGACTTGCCCGTGCAGAACTCCGGAAGGTCACACTGCTGGGCCTGATCACGGCACAGGGTGCCAGGAGCCACCAGCTAAGAAGAGGAACAAGAGAGAAAAACAGTGGATGACTTCCCTGTCCTCAGCCCTGTGAGCTGAGATCTCACACGCATCTCTTGTGTAGAACGGAACTTTCCCCACTGTTACTTCACAGCGCTTTTTACGTAACCGCTGTAGCTCAAGTCATCATCATCTTTTTTCTTTTATCATCAGTCTTTTCACATGAACAGTGACTGAGGCTTTTCTGGGTATTTTGACAAATGCAATCACTTCCTTTTCATAGCAGTCTTAAGAAGAAAACGGTAAGGAACAATGTTTATGCAACAATTAGAGCTTACCGTGTGCTTTAGTAGTAACAAGTAGCTTTACATAGCTCCCACGTAAGTGCCCAGTACCAATATTATTTCACTCCATTTTCATAGTGTAATGTAATATAACTATCCCCATTTTTGAGGATAAGCAATGCATCCAAAGCTACACAGTCAGTGGTAAAAGAGAAGGCCATAGGTAAATGCACACATTCAACTAGCATTCACACACCATCTTCGAATTTACAAAGCACTTCAGCAACGATACATCCCCATCACGGAGCCAAGCGCTGGGCTGAATATGTCACACACACTCTCTTCTATGCCCCTCACAATATCTATAAGGCAGACACTGCTAATTGCCCATTTTGCAGACCAAGCAACCTGGTCAACAGCACACACTGGGCAACGGGTAAACACTGAGTTTCTCCTTGGACTTACAGCAACCCAGGGTTACTCAACTCTTTCCAGTTTACTGGAAAAAGACCTCGGCTCCTAAGATCACAAGGACCTTAGGAAATTGCCAAAATCATATAGGCAGGACTGCAAGCCAGGGTCTCAGACACCAGGAATCTTTTGTGAGGTTCCAAATGACAACCTGAGCCTGGGTGAAATGCTCACACTCAGTACTTATTCTTTGGCTTGGTCTAAACTTGAAGGACTTGGCCCAGCACAACCTCCCCAGGGGACAATGGGTCAGGCCAGAAGCCCTTCAAGTGCTGCCCAGGTCAAGTAAAGAAACCAAGGACTGAGAATGAAGCCTTCCCTCCCTCCTGAGGGGCTACACACCGCTCACAAGGACCTCGCAGGAGAGAAGGCAGGCAGGCCCTTTGCTGGCTACTCTCAGGCCAGGCTGCTCTCTGAAAGGGCCCCAGCTGCAAGTGTGGACTGAAAGAGCTGGACGAGAGGAAGCTGAGGCAGCCACACCTCTACTGTCCAGGAACAGGGTGCAGATACAGAGGACCACTCTGCGGCCAGTCTGCCTGGTTCACATCCTAGCTCGTCAACCAGTGGGACCCTGGGAAGCCCCTGAACCTCCTCCTGTTCATTCACCCATGATTTGGGATCCTAACTCTCTCATGTGGTTGTTAAGAGAAATGACCTATAACAAAGCACTTGAACAACATCTGGTACATACTGAGCACTTGACAGATGGTAGGGAGAAGCACAGCTCCATAACTCCAGCCCCCAACTCTGAGTCCAGATGGCTTTCACACTCTAGGTATCAGTATGACTCATATTTTCAGTTACTATAGCATATGCCTATAAGTGTGTATGTAGCATTGTGCATATACGTAGATAAGTATGTGACACATGTACACATATGATTATAAATGTATGTATGTGTATACTTACGCATTCACATTACATACGTATACCACCACATAACCTTATAGCAAGGCCTGAGAAAATGGTTATGCTCAAACAGGTTAATATTTCTCTCATGAAATATAAATATTCACTTTAGGTATAATTTTTAAAAAGACCATAATTACCATCCTATCAATTCAGGTCAAGTTGTGTCACTAAACGTGATTAAAAACATTTTTTTTTTTTTTTCAGATTTTAGAACTTCTTGAATTTCAGAATGTGAGTAAGAGACTGCGGAGCTGTATTAACACTAACAGCAATAAGTCATTTCTCTCCCGCATCAATAAAACTCGGATACAGACTCCAGAGGCAGGAAGAGCTGGACTCAGGCCCTTCTTGTCTGTTTCACCCCAGGCAAGTTCCCCGCATTCGATTAGCCCCAGCTTTCTCATCTTCAAATGGGGATAATCATATACATCTCATGGGCTTTTATGGGACTGACTCATAAAAATATATACAATTCTCAGCACAGTACCTGGCATCTACTAAGACATCCATTAATGTCAATCAGACTTCTAGTACTTATACTTATGAGCTCACATAATATCAAACCTATTCTTTGTATACTTGTTTTAAAAAATATTTTCACCATCCCCAGGAGGCACCATCCTCAGAGATGATTTTAACTCAGTGAGCCCCAGGGGAGAAAATAGTAAAATTAGTGAAAGGGCCTGTTCCAGTTCCAAGTGTCTGAAACTTTTATTTTTCTTTTCTCCACTTTCCCACCCCCACCCCAGTGCTAGGGATGGAAACCAGGGCCTCAAGCATGTGAGGCAAGCACTCTAGCACCATCACTGCCCCAGGATGGAGGTTTGGGCCCACCATCGCCAGAGCTGCTGGGTCGTGCAAGCAGGGGAGGGGCCACTTACCTTGCACTCGTGGCAGCAGGCGCCGTGGGCACACTCTGCCCCTTCCTTCAAGGTGCAGTTGGAGGCATTGCAGCAGGGGTTGTTGCATTCCTGAGGGCAGTGGGCAGGCGTGAGTCTTTGGGGCAGCAGAGCAGGAGTCGGACCAGGTGGGAGGACAGCCTTCAGCACCACCCCCAGCCTCAGCCTGCCCTACACACCCTGGATCCCCTGCCAACAACTCCAGAACTCCTCGCCAAGACATCTCTTGGAAGCTTTATCCAGGTAGTGTGAATTTATCACAGAAAATACACATAAGCACAATCCTCAGTGACACCACAACCTAAAGGCAACTGCGTTTCAAGTGTGACTATTTTCCCATGCATCTACGCTGATACTTAGTTTGTGAAGTATAATATTCACACTGCTCCTAGTACAATCCCCTCCTTTCTGAAGGCCAGGGGCTGATCCCTCTAAGATCATGATGGCAAGAGCGGCAACAGCTTTAATAGTTCTTGTTTTATTCTGAAAGTTGTATGTTTGTGCTAAAATGAGAGTACCACATCTCAGAGATTAGAAAATCAAATCATTTTACCCACATATATAGATCCCCCCTCTCACCACACCACTTTCTGCTACTGGCACATTCTTCCCCAATTTTTGTGCATGTGTTAGCATACATATTTTCATCCTTCCAAAAATGGAAATGAAACAATCCAGTTCTGCTTTTTGCAGAACAACACACTTCTGTTAAAAGTGACAGTCATGCTATGTGCTCTTCGCACTCGCTTCTGAGGATCAGAAGGAAGGAAAGAGCTCTTACACAAAGACTGCCTCGGCTCCTTCCTCCCTGCAGCCCTTCAGCTCTTCCTCCATTCCTTTTCCATCACATCTTCTCTTGGGTAAACAGCATGAGCTTGTTATTTTAAGTATCCTCATAAGGCTCATGCTCAAGTTCATGAATCTGGATGTGTGGCTTCCAAAATAAGTTCAGTGCAGCTGCAGGGCCAAGGAGGCCATCTGAGCTCTAACAGAGGAGACGGGGCTACAGGATTGTGGTTTCTGGTAGACCAGATGCTCACCAGAACCCCACCCTGATCTTGGACACCACGAGTGCTAAACACAAGCCATGAAGACTGCAGAAGCAGTCCATCTGGAAGGCTTACTGACCACATTGTATATGGGGGCGGGGGTGTTGATAGTCCTGTAGGAAATGCCTGTGACTAAGAAATTTTGTCTACCGTATTCCCTTTTGACCTTAGGCTTGGAATCAATGCGTATTTCTCCCTCCTGCCAGCACCGCGGTGACACTCACATCTTCCTCCCCGCAGTCACACTCTTCCCCGTCTTCCAGGAACCCGTTCCCACACCACCGGCCTCCATAAAGCGTCCTGGTGTCCGGCATGTTGGAGAGACACATTCCACCTCCTGACTGCAGGTACCTATCGAGCTCCTTCTTGTTGCATCCATTGAAGACTCTGGGAAAGGGGTCGCTGGCAGAGAACAATGAAGGAAGTAGTTGAGGATTTGCATATCCAACAGCCAGAAGAGCTGCCAGCCGTGCTATGAGGCTGATTCCAGCTGGGCCCCCGAAGTGCCACATGCACACGGTCTATCCCCTTTGAACATGCATCAGTCAGTACCTTCACTTAGAATGCTTTCACGCCTCACCCCGAAACACTAACCATCTCACAGTATTTTATTTTCCTTACTCTGCATGGTAAAGGTATTTGAAAAGAAGAGCACCTTCTGTCATTTGAGGGAGTCGCAATAAAAAAAGATTGTGAATGTGTTACAACAGGTCTCAAGCCTCAGAGCCGACCCAAACTTCTCCTAAAGGCAGTACCAGGTGGATATTCTTTTGTTACAGAGGACCAGGCCAACAGAAACTGAGATCATGGGTTTAATTTCTCCAGGGACCAATGATTTGTTCTCTGTTCTGGAATGCAGAGCACACTTCAAACTGAGCTAGCCAACTCACACATATGTACCATCTATCCCAAGAGTCTGATTTCTCAGCCCCTCACTACTGGGAAAAAGAACCCAAACTAGTAGTTCCCTCTTCTCTGCAGTTTTGTTTTCCATGGTTTTAGTTACCCATCTTAAATGGAAAATTCCAGAAATAACTTGTAGGTTTTAAATAACTTTTATTACAGTACATGGTTCTAATTGTTTTACTTTATTAGTTGTTGTTTTTAATGTCTAATCATACCTGCTTTACAAATTAAACTTTCTCATAGATATGTATGCAGAGAAAGAAAACCATAGGCTATAGAGTGTTAGTTATCTGTAGTTTCAGGTGTCTGGAATGTCTTTGAACATATTCCCTACAGGTAAGGGGAAACAACTGCAGCATGAGCAGAGTCTACAAAGGGAGAGTTACCCTGCTTCCGGTGCTGTAGAACAATTAAAGACTAAGCGCAGGAGAGTTTCATGCTACATGAGGAAAATTTATGAACAATTTGAACATAAATGAGAGAAGGAATTAATATAACTCTCAGCCACTTACCTACAGATACTAGTGAGATTGGGAGAGAAAGGAGTGGACCTACTGGTGAGCTCACAGGGACTTCAGCATGAACTGGGGAATTGTATTCTACATATCAACATCATCCTTCCTGAGTAATAGCCAGGAAGTGATGAGCAAACACTGCTCATGGGAGCTCCAGGGAACCGGGACTTCTCTGGGAGACACTGAGACATCATACTCTTCAACACATAAGCAGACCCTACTGATTTGGGGTGAAGGAACATAAAGTCCCAGCATAATGCTTGCCAAGGAGAAATTCAGGTCCTGGAAGAACCCAGTGATGTATGCTGAGTCCAGACCTTAGGTGGTAAGTCCTCTGAACAAACTCTGGAAATTTTTTCCAAGGATCTGGTTTAGAACATCCTTCATGACTACCAGAGAAGCAGTTGCCTGGTCCCTGGTCCTCATCGGTAGCCCCTGTGCAGTGCGCGGAGGGTCATTTTCCTTCAACTCATTCTGGAGGCTACATCAGAGCTTTCAAGTAAGGTTGGATGTAACAGTGCTAAACAAATTCCTTTGGGATGGAAGCACCAAGGGTTGTGGTTATGATCAAAGTGGGTCCTTGTCAAAAGTTAATGAAGGAAAAATGACCCATGTGGTCAGCTCAATTTTATGGCTAAAGACCCTAAGGTGAATTAAAACATAGAATATAGTGCATATGGTAAAGAATATAGCCGGGGTTTCATCAGCACTGAATCTCCTGCATGAAATCTGCTCCCTTCCACACATTTCCCTTCTTGGTGCTCTTCCAATTTGCTTTTTGAGACAGGGTCCTGCTATGTAATCCAGGCTGGGCTTGAACTCACTATGTAGCCCAAGCTGGTCTCGAACTCACAGAGATCCTCCTGCCTCAGCCTCCCCAGTGCTGGGATGACAGGTGTGTGACACCACGCCCGGCCTGGTGCTCTTCCAAATTCTTTGAAGTAAAACCCACATTTTCTCCAACACCCTCCTAGCATATTAAAAGCAGTTCCTCAAGGCCAGATGGCAGGAATATTTGGGTCACCCTGGCCATGCCTGCCTCCCCACCCTTCTCATCCTCACCCTTCCTGTTGACTCACCCAGTGGCAGCTGCCATGATGCATCCACCATCAGCAGGACTGGCAGAGCAGCAGCCTGTGGAATCGTGGGTCATGCCAAAGTTGTGGCCTATTTCGTGGGCTATGGTCGAAGCCACGCCAATGGCATTCTCAGAGTGGTCCTGCTCAGGGAGAGAGTTCCAGTGAAGGTCAAGGGTCAGCACTGTCTATCCCTCTCACCCTCAATCTCTGTCTTTTTCTAAGTTGAGCCTGGAAGCTCTCTACTGGTTCCTCTACCAAAGGGCAACCCAGGTTCGCCATGGTTGCTTTCCAACAGCAAGTTGAAAGCCACTGTCATTATCAGGAAATCCAATGGTTAAAAGCTAGTGCTTCCTGAGTTCTCCAACAGTGCAGACCATGTCTGTCCCACTGATGAATTGCTGGGCCAGTAAATGCTTTTCCCCATTCTTTCTCTTAACATATGTATCTCTTCAAAATATAAGAGAGTGGAAGGAGACACTGCCACAGGTCAACGTAGGGCATGTTTGTCCTGTTTTCTGACAGCACCACATGATAGATACTTTCCTGGCACCATGTGTGATTCTTGTCAAAAGCAGAAGCTAAAGAAATAGGAAACAAACCAGCAACCAAAGCAGGCCCAGGGGCAAGTGCCTGTTGCCCCCGTTACTTGGGAGACTGAGGGAACGGATCACTTGAGCCCAGGAGTTCAAGGCCATCCTGGGCAATGCAGCAAGCCCTTGTCTCAAAAAACACAGAAGCAACAAAAAGAGATCTACTGAACACATGTGGGTGTTTCTGGCACAATTTTGTTTAATTCCCATTCTTACCCTAAGATTATGAATTGTCAAATTACCTTTATTGTACAACTGAAGACACCTATTAACTCATCCAAAGCCGCGTAAATATTCTTTGAAACTAATCAGCTCTGACTCTAGAGCCTGGATTTTAACATTTTTTTTTTTTTTGTCAATAAATAAATACAGGGTGGGTGGACAGATAGATGGGCAGCAGGCTCCCATATATCCACTCACAGCTTCTAAGTGAATAGTCCTAATACTCTCACAAAGTCAGAGAGAATTTCAAAAGAAGAGGAATTGCCTGTGACTTTGGGACATGCCCTCCCTTTGTAATGACACACCTGACAATGCAGGACTTGGAATAAAAACACTCTCATTTCTCTCCTCTTACTATTTCCTGGCCCCTGGTGTGGAACATACGAGAGATCTAAAGATGTATGCATGAAATCACTTCACAGCTCTCCTGAGCTTGGGACAATCAAAAATAAACTACAATAAATGACAATTCACCCCTGGGTCCCTGTATTTCTTAGAACTTGATGACTTCACTTTAAAATATTGGCCTTCTTGACATCAGGGGTTTTTCTTTGGCAATAATACACATCAGATCCTTCTTTTCAAAGGTGACCTCCAGGCCTGGGAGGCAGTTTTGCACCTCCTGCAGCGCTGGCGTATGGCTGAGACTCACCGTGCTGACCCCTCCAGAATGGTGCATGGAGCACATGGTCCTGAGGAAGGCCAGGCCGATGGTGGTGCCGTGGAAAGGGACACCCCTGCAGGAGAGAAGAGGGGGTAAATGGGTCAGGCTGGGGCGCTGTCCCTGCGTGTCCAGGAGCAAGTGGCTGTCATGTGCTCTCTGGTCTCGCTGACATTTCCAGTCCATTCCCAAGGGGGTGGGGCCCTCGTATTCTGGCCAGCTGGCCAACTTTCAGGTCACCACACCACTTACTTCCTCTCATCTACTCCGTCTCTGCTCCAGAGAAAAGGAGAAAGCAGATAAAAGGTCACGTTTTCCCCACAGTAAGCCCTCGGCCAAGTCCCTGAAGGAAACGGCGGAGCCTGAAAGCTCCATCCCATGCCTGCTGCACAGGAAAAGCTCAGGAGAGCTAGGGAAGGGTGGTGGCACAGCATCTGATGCCAAAGTGAATCATGCCCACTTCCGCCAGCTGCCTGGTCCCAAGCCTTACCCCGGCTCTGCAGTGTGGGCCTTGGGGAACAGGGGAGGGCCATTAGGCAACAGCTGTAGGATGGATGCTTCATTCCCATGTCACCTTTGGGCCAAGGAAGCAGCTGTGTCCCATCGGGAGCCTCACAAAGTGCAGCCGGGGGCAGGGATGAGCTGTTTCTGCCTTTGTTTTGTAGCCGTGACCCTAATCCGCCAGTGGCCAGCTACGGTCTCCCTGGTCTGAACACATCCCTCTCTCAGCTGTATCCATCCAGGATAGAGGAAAAGGAATAAATGCAATACCAGTGCTTTTGTGCATGCCCCTAATGTGTCACCTACTTAAAGGACCTCTGGAAATTCATGAGGCGGTACACATCTGCATGTTTTTCTTCTTATCTAAACCATGATGTGTTTGACTATCTTATTTATTTTAGAATCTCTAAGAATTAGCACAGAATGTGACACATTATGCATGTTGAATAGGTACTAAACTCAAGGCACACTTATCTTCAGAGGAACAATCTGCACAGAAACATGCAAAATACGTCCCAATTTATATGAAGCCCTATTTATTACTTTTTAAACTTGGGCATGGCTCGGAGGAAGGCCTACTGGAAACACAGATTCAAGATCTGCCTAAAGCAGGATGTCTCCCCATTCAGGCCAAAAGCTTTGATGACCAAGAAGGACAGGACTGTAGCTCGGCTGCACAGCCATCCCCAGCGCTGCCACCACCACAGCAGGTTTTGGTACCCAGAGGCTCTTCCTGGCTGAATGTATAGTCAGAAGTAACCACTCAGAGCCTGGGCGTGGGGGACAGTTATTTCCCAGTTTCCTGCAGGTCAGTGGCCTGTGGGTTGGACACACTGGCTTGCTTGAGCTGCCGTGAGTGAAGGGGAATTGTCCTGGGTGCCATATAAAGTATATAATGTGGTTAAAGTATGTAAGTAACAAAACTCCCTTTCTTTTACATTTTTTTCTTATGACACAGGCAACACCAAACCCGTTGGTCACAGGTTAGATACACCTATAAGGGTCAACCAAGGTTTAAATGATTACTGACCCTGAGATATATTTAGGAAACACGTGAAAAAGGGTTTATTATCTCTGGGCCTTTTGTTGTATCTGCCTTCAAATACTTTGGAAGTCAACATGAATAAATACCAATAATCACCCTTAGTGGCACCCTGGAATGTCAGTTTCACACAGTGGCATGTACACAGACCTGCAGCAAATAACCTGGTGCTTCATGTGTCTTTTCCCAAGAAGAAATCATTGTAAGAAACACATATCACTTTCCAGTATGCTTACGCTGTGTTCAAGGAAGTATGGCAAGTCATAGTCTCTTTGTTTCAAAATGTGACTCCATCAGTTAGAATGTCTGTTCTTTTATCTCTGGGACCGATGAAAACCCAACCCAGTCCCCCCCCAGGGCCACCCTCCCACCAAGCACATGATTCCAGCTCTGTGTGCCACGGTGCCTCTCTCAGGCATTCAGCACCGAGCCCCTTGGAAGCAAATGAAGGGTGACTCAGGGGATCCCCTGTCCCGTGTCTGTGGTGGGAGATGAGTGCTTACAGCAGAACAAAACCTGTCCCCAAGTGGCCACGGCCAACTGCCAATCACTGCCTGACTACACACACAGCTGGCCCATTTGCTCAGCTGCTGCTGCTGAGATTTTTAATCATATCTTCTTAAGTGCGCTGGGTCCAGAGCGCATGCTGGAGAAATGCCTGCCTATCTGGACCCGGGATCCAGGAGGGCCTTGTACAACCAGTGCCCATCACCAGGCAAAGAAAGTCAAATGCCGAGAACATGCACGGTAGGCAGAGGCTCTGCAGCCAAAGCCGAGGCGGAGCACACAGGAAACGCGCTACTTACGTGATTAACTGAGCGTTGTCATGGCTCTTCTGGACCAGCAGCTTGCGCCTCCAGCTGAGAAATGATAAAAGCGTGGAGTAGGGATTCTCTGAAACTTCGCACTTATCCCCGTGAGTCCACACCTCCAAGCCCACCAGAGCAATCCGGATATTCAAGGATCGGTAAAACTGAAAAGACCAAAAAACTGTGGTTTCTATCAACACTATATGGGACATATCAGTCTCTTCCTCACCTTGAAACTCAGAACACAGGCTCCAGATTTCTCCTGTGCCCCTGGCTCCGAGGGGTACGGTTATTAATGACTTTTTTTGAGACAGGGAAAGTGCTGTTCTGAGAGGTTTGCGCAGTACTCTGGTGGCAGAACTGGGGTATCCTTGCTTAGAGAATGGAAGGCCAAGGTAGAACACAAAATTGGTTCAAATACATACAGGCCTATCGTGTGCAGGAAGGATGGGGGTTGACCCACATGGTCCAAGCAGGGACTGGGTTCAGAGGTAAAACAGACATGAAAATAAATTTCGTAGTATAATAGAAAAAAAGCATTTGAGAAAAGCTGGTCAGGGCTGAGCAATGTAGTGCACATCTATAATCCCAGCACTCAGGAGGCTGAGGCAGGAAGACCACTGTGAGTTCAAGGCCAACCTGAACTACATAGGGGGACACTCTCCCTGCACCAGGTGGTGTTTATGAGCAAGTTCAGATTTGAGATCTACAGTCTTCTATATAACCACTCTTGCCCCAGCTAGCCTAGCCCTTATCATTTTATGTGTACCTAAAAAAGCTCTCTTGTGTATGGATTAAAAAAAAAAAACTTTATACAGGTATAATCTACATAGCATAAAAACCACCCATTCTGAGTGGTTTACCAATCTTTTTAGTACCATTTTTGAGTATTTTCATCATGCCAGTAAGATCTTTCACATTCATATATGGCCATTTTCCATTCTTACCCTCAGCCCAGAGAAAAATTACTCTACTTTCTGTCTCTATAGATTTGCCTTTTCTGGACCTTTTCTTTTTTCCTTTTCTTTCTTTCTTTCTTTTAACAAATGGAATCATACAACACAGGTTTTTCCCCTGGTTTCTTTTGCCTAGTGCACTGTTTTTGAGAATCTTCCATGCTATAGGATGAATCACTCTGATCAGTTTGTCATTCCTTTTATTGTCAAATATATAATATCCCATTGTATAGATATGCTAAATTATGTTAGGGATTTTTAAAACTCTAAGATGTCTCAAAGTAAATGATACACAAAGAAATGGGAATAAATTTCTATCATCAAAAATGAATGACAAAGCCGGGGATATAGCTCAGCGGCATAAGTGTTTGCCTGGCAAGCCTGAGGTCATGAGTTCCATTCCCGGTACCAAAAACACAACAACAACAACAACAACAAAATGAATGACACAGCAGACAGACAAGCTCCCTCCAAAAGTTTCTTTTTTTGTTTTGGTTTTTTTTTTCTGGTATGGGGAATTGAACTTATGACCTTGCGCTTGCCAGGCAGGCGCTGTGCTGCTGAGCTAAATCCCTAGCCTCCTCCCTCCCAAAGTTTCCTTCCCCATCCCTGGATTATTGAGGTTGTGTGAAATGACAAAGGCCCTAAGTAATCCTTAGGGTTCTGTCCAACCAGGAGATCCCGAAATTCTATCATGCAGAGCTGACTGTCTGTCTCTGTAAGTCTAGGCTACACTAGCTTTATGACATGGAGTCTTTCACCTCATGTGCACAGAAGCAGGAGGTACTTCTCTTTAAAGCTATGCTACTGGAATGTGGTGATAAGCAGTTCTCTGATGGGTCTGATCTAGATGCTACTGAGCCAGTAGCTTTTTAAAAAGACCTACATAGACAGTGGTCACATGAGCAGGAGAGACTATCTTAACCTGAAATTAGCAGGTTCTGCCCCAGCTAAAAATAATAACCAGGACATCAGTGTTTGTCAAGCACTTTCTCCATACTAAGCACTGAGGAACCCAGGCAAAGTCTCAGCAGGAAATGGTGAAGCTGGAATAAAGACAGAGACCCCAGGCTCAGACACCACTCATGATCCTACTCCGTCCCAGCACTGCGCTTATTTACAGTGCCCGACCACCCACTTGCCTGCCCCCAGAATTGTGGCCTAAGATGGAATGAAGAGTCTACAAACATCCGTTTATTGCTCTATAAAATTTGATTTTGTTTTGTTTTGTGCTGCACCAATCTTGAAAGAGAACAAAGGTTTAGACTTCAGTTTGAATTTGCTTCACTAGGGAGATTTTTAAGGAAGTAAACTTGGGCTTTTTCAGTTAAGAGAAAATATTTTGGATTGGGCTCAAGATCCAGCAAACGAGGGTACTTCATTCCAGTTTGAGTTCAAGGATCCTTCAGTTCAAGTAGCTGGGTCAGCAAGCTCCAGAGCAGTGGGAGTGACTCACCTCAGCTGCTGGGGAGCGGCAGGAGGATACACAGAGGACCAGCCAGCCAGGCATGGGCTCTAGCCGAGGTCTGGGATTTGCAGCTGCCTCTCTTCTCCCTCCACGGATTTTCCTTTCCTTTCCTGGCTGAGATTGTAATTGGCACACTCCTTCTATTTTTTATCAGTGCCCCTGGTTTTCTTACCCAAACCAGCAAACGTTCACCAAGGAGGGACTCAACTTGCCTGGTCTTTAGAACAATAGATGTCACATACCCAGCAGGATCTGCCTTCTCTACAGCCCCCAGGGAAGTAAGCTCTCCTTGTTTTCCCAGATGTTGAGTGTTTGTGTTGCAGGATCATTTGAATGTCATCGTGGAGTGGGCTGGGAGCTAGAGAGAGAACTCCGCTATGTCTGGGAGAGGTCTTTCTTATGAAATGTCAGTGCCTGACTTTCTCCTGTCACTTGCCAGTGGCCTGTATTTCTAGAGCAAGTGAGGACAGAACAAAAATTTGGCTCAGAGAACCTCTCATCTAATGACTATGAAGAACTACTACATTTCCTTGCTAGTCCCTTAAAAAAGTTCTCTTTGCTATCCTGTACTGTTTGAAAAATGATTTCCCTTTTAGATCTGGGATCCATAAATCCCTGGCAGGCACACAGTTGAACTTTTAAAGCTTTATGAGTGTCCTGAAATTGTACAAGTCATATTATGAGATCAAAGACACTCCAAACACATCGAAAGCTACTTATTTAAAAACCACTCTAGTACTCTGTCAAGCAGCTAATACCATTCTAGGTCATTTTTTTATTTTTGTGTTTTATATTATAACAAATACCCTCTTTCATATATACAAAATATTTCCAAGTCCCAGACCAACCTGTTTAGTAACACTTCAAAATTTGGGCATTTCCTAAGTGTATTATGTAAAAGGTACTGAATTAGGAAAGTTACCCACTTACATAGTCTTTCTAAGGGACAAGAAATACTTCTAAGGCAGTTTTACATATGGAGACTGCAGACTGGCCCCAAACAACCCATTCCCCATTAAGGTTATATACCTTTCCCATCCAGACCCAATTCAATTCCTTCTAAGTCAGAGAACCAACAAGCTTTATACCTGGAAAATCTTAATACATTTTGAAATGCTATTGTGAAAGGTGTTGTTTCCCTAATTTCTCTCTCAATGAGTTTCTCATGTGTGTACAGGAAAGCCATTGATTTTCGAATGTTGACTTTGTATCCAGCTATGCTACTGAATTTGCTCATTAAATCTAAACGTTTGTTAGTGGAGTTTTTGGGGTTTTCTATGTAGAGAATTATGTCATCTGTAAATAGGGATAATTTCACTTCTTCCTTTCCTATCATTATTCCTTTTATTTCTTTCTCTTGTCTAATTGCTTTGGCTAAAGTTTCTAGTACTATGTTGAATAAGAATGGAGACAGTGGACATCCTTGTCTTGTTCCTGATTTTAGAGTGAAAGCTTTCAGTTTTTGTCCATTTAATATGATGTTGGCTGTTAGTTTGGCTTTTATTAGATTGAGATAAAGACCGTATTTCCGATTTTCTGTATGGTTTTTCAGCATGAGTGGGTGTTGAACTTTGTCAAAAGCTCTTTCTGCACCTATTGAGATGATCATATGATTTTTTGTCCTTGGCTCTGTTAATATGGTGTGTTACATTTATTGATTTATGTATACTGAACCATCCCTGCATCTGTGGGATGAATCCCAGTTGGTCATGCTGCATAATCTTCCTGATGATTTGCTTCATTCTGTTAGCCAGTATCTTACTGAGGACTTTTGCATCTATGTTCATTAGGAAGATTGGCCTGTAGTTCTTTCTTGGTTGGGTCCTTCTCTGGTTTTGGTGTGAGGGTAATGCTTGCTTCCAAGAATGAATTTGTGAGTATTGCTTCAATTTCAATTTCATTAAAGAGTTTGGGCAGTATTGGTGTTAAGTCTTCTCTAAATTTCTTGTAGAATTCAGCAGTGATTCCATCAGGGCCTGGGCTTTTCTTTGTTGGTAGGTTTTTAATTACATCTTCAATTTTGTTGATAGATATTATTTTATTTAGGATTTTTATATCTTCTTAATTCAACTTTGGTAATTAGTATGTATCTAGGAATCTGTATCTAGGAATCTGGAGAAATGCATTTCTGCTGCATTTTCCACCTTATTAGAATATAAGTTTTCAAAGATGATCTTCTGGATTTCTGTAGGGTCCATGGTGACTTCATCCTTTTCATTCTTAATTGACTAGACTTGAGTTTTTTCTTTCCTTTTTTGGTAAGATTGGCTAAGGGTTTGTCGATTTTATTTAATCTTTCAAAGAACCAACTCTTTGATTCACTGATTCTCTGTATCGTTTTTTCAGTGTCCAGTGTGCTAATTTCTGCTCTGATCTTTGTAATGTCTTCCCTTATATGAGCTTTTAGCTTAGTCTGTTCTTTTCCTAGAAGTTTGAGGTTCAACATTAAGTTGCTTATTTGTGCTTGTCTATTTCCCTGATATGGGTATTCACTGCTATAAATTTCCCTCTTAAAACTGCTTTCATTTTTTCTCATAAGTTCCGGTATGTCCTTAATACATTCTAAACTGGGCTCTTCCCTGCTCTCAGTTCCTAAGAAGCCAGAGAAGAGAGGAGAAGCAATCGGAGAACAACAGTGCTCTGGTCAGTATAGAGCAGTCTGTTTCTATCTGATGTTTACACAGACAGTAGAACAGGATTTCATTTTTTAAAAACCCCCTCAGAAAAATAGAAATAACTGAAAGTGATTGATTTAGGCCAATACTCTACTTTGTAAACTGAAACAAAGCAAACCAAGAGCAAAATTAAAAACTACAACCTAAAGAAGATGAGTTACTTACCTAACGCCACAGCGTTCAGAGGTGGTCCTGGCCACATTGAGCCTCTATGGCATTGCTCATTCCCTTTCACAAACTGGATGGTCAGTCCAATAGAAGGCAGCTCAGGTACATGTGATCTCCTGTCCTGCAACCCCTCTGAGGTCCTGGCACCTCTCCCACAAAGTACACACCTGGTCTCACCTTATCAACATAGTTGGCAATTTCCATGAGCTTGTGTTTGGTAGCAACCTGGTCTCGTCGATTCTTCTGAAACTGAAAGGAACAAACAGAACCAGGTGAGACCTCAGAGCCACTCCCAAGACCCTTCCTATGCCCCACCTCTAGTCTTTGAATTTGTTCTTATTTTCTTCTCTCTTTTATAAACATTCATTTTTATGAAACTGTCTTCCCTACTACAGTGACAGCTCCTGGAGAGCAGGACTTGGGTGATTCCATCTTGGTATTTGTATACCAGCTCAGTCGGCAGCACAGAGGAGTCACAGGTAGTGAATCAAATCATCTTCTAACCCTTGATGTAAATCTTTATTTTCCTGTCCTTAAAATTACCAGGCCTCTGGCGAACTCCCATTTTGGCTTAGAAAATGACCAGTCTGAAACTTGTCTTGGTCATCATCCCAACTTGAAGCCACCACCACACAGATCTCATGAAGCTCCCCTACATGTTTTCAACCAACATTGGGAAAATCATTGCTGGACAACTGCTACAGGCCAGGCACTGTGCTTAGTTAGCACCAGGTAGGACACAATATGGTGAGAAGACCAGAATGTTGAGAGGAAATAACCGTAATGCTGGATTCTTCATGTGTATTTAAGGAGTACACACTTAAAATGGGCTTAGAAATCTTCCCTAGAAAACAAGAAATAACTGCAATAGGAGGCCATATAAATGACACATGTTGGGTTTTGGCAACATCTCACAGGTGCTAGCAATTAGGCTTCATCTTACACACCAGTCAAGATGTGTGTGTGCACACCAGTCACACCACCTTGCACACCAGACTAACAGGCAGTGCCTTCTACAGTAGGAAGAATTCTGAGACCACTTACAACTGAAATTAGACATCCCTAATTGAGCCCAGAAAAGAGTGCCACACTTGATTAGAAATGTCTGCCACAGATAACAGAAGGAGGATATATCAGCATAAATGTACTATTCCTGCCTCAAAAGGATATACTGTATCTCTTTCAGCTACAGTAATGAAGAAAACCCTTGCAATGCAAAGATGTGATTATTCTGTAAGTGGAACTTAAATATGCAAAGAATGGGTAGATGTTGTATGCTATTATTATCATATAGATTGAGTACATATTTGGTTTACCATAGATATGTACTATGTATGTTACTTTAATCCCAATCCTAGCCCAGTAAAGCCATGATAGTTGAAGAAGTATATCATGTTGTCCAAAACAGTCTGAAGCAGGAGTCAGTAAACTTTTTGTTAATAAATATTTCATGTTTTGTGAGCCATACTACTTCTGTCATGATTACTCAGCTCTGCCTTAGAGGCCTGGAAGTAGCCATGAACAATAATAAACCAATGGGCTTGGCTGGGTTCCAGTAAACTGTTTACAAAAGCACGTGGTGAACTGGATTGGGCCGTGAGCTGTAACTTGCAAATCCCGGATTAAAAAAAACTAATACTTCAATCTTACATTTTCTAGGGTAACAGCAGAAGCACAGCAGGGAGCACCACCATGCTATCCTTGCTTCCTCACATCCGGTTGGTATCATGCGGTATCAGAGGCTTGTGTTCACAGCTGTCCTGTCCCCTCCTCCAACATTACACCCTATTCTTTGTTCCCCTAGGTTTCTGTTTCACCTAGGACAGGAATATGCAGAGAACCACCCCAGGAGTTCCCACCTGGACCCAGGGAGGGAGGTGCTGCTTGCTTATTTTTTCTGCTAACCACTCTCCTAGGCAGCAGGACTGTGTTTCACTTTCCCAATCGGAATCTCCACTCCCTGCTCTGAGTTCAGAGCCCAGAGCAGAAGGCTGTACCAACTCAGTGCCATGCTGTAAATCACAGAAGAGCGGACCTCCCCTTTTCTGTCTTCCTGTCCTCCCCCCGGTTAATTATCAGAAATATATTTCTGCCTGCAGAGGATGAGAAGCCCCTGGCGGAGGGAGTGAAAGAGGTGGGGACAAGGCTGATTCCTGAGCCTGTGAATACAGCTTGCCCTATTACACGCCCCCCACACACACACCTCTCACACGCATCCAGTAAAGCCTTCAGCTGAGGGTTCCCAGCCCTTGAGAAACTGAACATATTCTCTTATCCACAGTGGCTGAGTCATAGCCCTGCAGGGAGCCCTGGTCTGGCACTAAACAGACCCGTCTCTGTTACAGGAAGTGGGTCCAGGTGATACCACAGCACTGGGGGCTCCCTGAGCAGACGCTTTTTTCGCTGCTCTCACTGTGACTCTGGCTGTCTGGAAAGATCCCTTTCTCTGCCCCACGCTGCTTCTGTGCCTGCTGCAGACGCATAGCCAATGCACCTTACATCCTGCACCCAGCACAACAGTTGTGGTGTTTGCCTAGGACGTGTGAGACCCTGGACTCAGCGTCACAAAATAAAAACCAAAGAGCAAATCTTATACCAAAGTGCCACTGGGGAGAGTGCAAAGTAAAGAAAAAACATCCCTCCTTTAAACTAGAACAGCTGGGTTTCTATATCCTGATTACTGGGGTCCCCAGGAACTTTTATCTGCTCAAAGGATTCTGTGGCAGAAAAAACATGGCTGAAGACTTGATTCTTAGGTAATCTTCAGTGTAACGCTTAAATGGGAAAATGTCCTGGGGTTGGAGGAGCTCACTTCTTCTCAGTAACCCTTCCTATAGGGCAGTTTTGCAGGGCAGGGGCTAGCGCAGAGTCTCCACTGGTTTGAAATTTGCTTAGTTTTTTTCCCTACCTTCCGCCCCCTTCTTATATATACATTTGCCTTTAGAGAGGAAACAAAAGACATAGAGAATGAGAGAGAGAGACAGAGAGAAAGAGAGACAGAGACAGAGAGAGACAGAGACAGAGACAGGTTGGAAAAACCAGTATCAGCATCAGTTAAAAAGCTAAACTTCTCTCAAAGCTGAACGCGGGGTTCCCTCCATGGAATGCCCCTCCCTCCATTTCTCCTCCCTGTTAAAGCCTCCCTGTCCTTAAACAGTTCAAGGGCCCCCCTCCTTCTGCAGCTAACAGTGAAAGGAGCCTTCAAGCCTAGGGTCCAGCACTCCTCTCAACAGCTGGCCCTGCCTCCAAGGGCTCAAGGGTTCACGCTTTGGGACTGTGGGCTACACACAGCTGCCTCAGCATGAGACCTTTGGGGTAATCCCGTTAGCACGGGGAAAGTAGACAGGTGGGAGTTGTAATGAGCCTTGTGCTCAGGGAACCCAGGCAAGGTCACAAGGGGTAAGGGCACAAGTGCTCAGCGCATCATGGTGGCCCAGTGTGCAGAATCTGTGGTTGGTTGTGTGGCTGAGTCACTCACAACATAAAGTGAGAACCTGAGGTAACTCCTGATAAACTGAAGCCATTTTTCAGGCATCATTTTCAACATTACTACCTCCGAGAAGCCTCCTCCGGGTGCCCAGGTCATGCTAGACTCCCGTTCCTTGCACTCTAACACCACCTGGGCATCATTTTATTGGTTGGCATATTTTGGGACTACTATAGTTTTTGTGCCATTTCTAAAACCTCTATGCTGCCAGTGATGGGTCTGGCTTTTTGAGATCTGTGTAGAAAATCAGGAAATCATGGATGAATAAATAAAATGAATGAAAGAGAAAGCTAAGTCGTAGAGCCTAACTAATTTAAGAAGTGTGAGTTAAAGGCTATCTTATTTTTCTTTTAGGTCAACAGCTCCCAAACGCACCTGGGCCTCAGAGTTATCCAGAGGTCTTATTGCAGCGGAGGATTTAGTTTGTCTAGGGTAGAATGCATGAATACGCATCTTTCACAAGTTTCCAGCTGCTACAAAGGCTGCAGGTTTGGGGACTGTGTTTTGTGAACCCTAGCTTCTTATTTGGTACCAATATAGTTATAAAAATGAAACCATACACAGGCCAAAAAAAGGTATTAAATCAGATGATGGAGAATATATTTATCTTTATAAAACAAAATTTTAAAAATTTCTATAGTGAAGATATGGACTCCTTTAAAAAAAGGACATCAGAAGGTTTTCAGATGCCATCTGAGAAATGTCAGTCCAGATAACTGTCCTGGTTTTCCATCTGATTAGTGTACTGAGCTAGAGAAGGCTTCCCTCAGTGGATTCTTCCCTCTTGGCTTTTTAAAATGGCAACAAGAGCCTCTGGTCAGATTTAAGGTCAAAATTATATGATAAACCGGAGAAAGATGAATGCATCAGCATCTCCCCAAAGTAGCTGGAAGTCTAAAACAGCTATCAAGAGAGTAGTTTTTTGCTAAAACGTGTCACCTCCCTCTTACCTCTGCATAATCCGCCACGAGGTAAAGCTCCACATACTTCATGGAGTATAAATCTTCCCTTTTCATCTGAGGAAGAAATGTAAACACATCAGAGCTGGGAAAATGGTGGATTTGGACTCATTTCCAAAAACTACTGAGAAACACAAGCAGTTAGTAAGCAGTGGGCCTTCCTACACATTCTGTATGCGGATGCAGGAGACATGCATGGCTGCAGCCACCTCGCCCTGCCTGTGCCCCGCACCTGCCGTTTGCTTATGGCTGGACACTGTTCCTGGCCATGGGATCCAGCCCTTTATTCTCAAAAAAGAACAAGCTGAGCTGGCTGGGACAGGCAGCCTGGAGGCCAGCACACACCGAGGGAACACACCGCTGACCAAGTTCCCAAGTAACCTTTGGGCCACATACTGCTATTTTCAGTATAAACAAATAACATTTTGTGCATAGGAGGGAAGTGGCTATTTCAACAGGGGAGGCTTTTTTTCACCTTTTCTCATTTCTGAAAGCCACTTCTCAGAGTATTTTAAATGGAGTGTTTTTCTCTGAAGCGGTTATTTTCTTGGAGTGTATCTCATACTCAACAGTGATTTAGAATAAATGAAGAAAGCTCTTTGCTCCTTCTTAGCCATTTTCCTTCCATTTAAAAATACCCCTGGGAGGGCTGGGTGTGTAGCTCAGCAGCATAAGCACTTGCCTGGCAAGACTGAGGTCATGAGTTCGATTCCAGGTACCAAAAAAAAAAAACCCTGGGAAGGCTAAGGATATAGCTCAGCCGCACAGGTGCCTGTCTGGCAAGCGCAATCCTGAGTTTGATTTAAAAAAAAAAAAAAGAAAGAAGACAGAAATACCCCCAGGCTGACCACTACACAGGTACCTTGGACACTCACCCTGCGAGGTCGGTTCTTGGTATGGTTTGTAAACAGAAGACCCCATTCCCTGGTGCTGTGGGGGGGGTGACTGATCCCACAGCTCCCAGGGGGCAGCTTGAGATGTTCAGATCTGTAAATAAGGTGTTGGCTCGCGTTGTCAGGGAGAGGCTCGATGATGTAGCTGAGGTTACTGCTCACCGTAATCAGTCCTCTGTGGGTAGAAGAAACACAATCTTTGGTCGGAGATGATGGCCCTGGAAAAGTTCCTCTCCTATGCCCATATGCAAAATGGCTCCACTGGTTTGATCATTGGCTCTTCCCCTTATTATGGGGCTATGCACCTCTTTGTGAGGGTTTGATGCAAGCTCAGACCTTCTTTCCAGAAAAACGTATGTGTATAGGAGACACGGCACACGATGGCAAGGCACTCGGATGTCCTTATCTCACCACAAGATGCAAGTTCAGAACCCTAGACAAGAGAAGCTCAAAAGGGTCCTTTAAAAACTGTACCCAGGACAGTTAACACTGATAAAGGAAGTTAGGACAGGGACTCCAAAAGGCTCCCAAAGTAAGCATGGCAAAGGACAAATCACAGGGCAAAACTTTACAGACTCTGACTTAGGCTCAGAGTTTAGCACAACATTCCCTTTTTTTTTTTTTTTTTTTTTTTTTTTCTCCAGTACCAGGAACCGAACTCACGACCTTGCACTTGCCAAGCAGGCGCTGTGCTGCTGAGCTAAATCCCCAGCCCCAGCACAACATTCTCTTTAACAAACATCTTAAATCAGTCTAAGCCTCAGTTTTCTCATCCCTAAAAACAGAAATAACTTACTAACTTATCGGAACTCTTATATTATTAAATGAAACATGGGTCCCTTGTGCTTGGAAGCCAAACCTAGAGATGTACTATGGATGAAATTTCTACAAGTCCCAACTGCTCTATGCTGGCAAGACAGCTGCTTGGTAAAGGGACACCCACAAACAAGCACATGCGACCTCTTCCCCCTTGATAGGAGACTAGCATTGTTCAGTCTATTCTTTCATGCAGCTTTTACATGGTTTATCTGTAATCTAAACACAAGCCTTGTAGTCACAAGCATTTACTCCTGGGTATCTACAGGGGATTGGTTGTAGAACACCCAAAAATATCAAAATCACAGATGCTCAAATTCCCTATAAAAATGGGGCAGACCTTGCATATAACTTATTCTAAGAATAAGTCATCTCTAGTTACGTATCATACCAAATGTATAATGTAAATAATATGTAAATAGTTGTAGTGCTATACTGTTTAGGGATTAATGCCAAGAAAAAAAAATGGTTGTATTCAGTACAGTTGAAAACTATTTTTCCAAGATGTTTGATTCATGCTTGGTTGAATCTGCAAATGGAAAATCTACAGGTACAGAGGACAAACTCTCAGCCATGGTCCAAAGGAGAACAGCCAATCATTCCACAAATGTCTTCTAGGCTCCTGAGCTAGGCATCATGCTAGTTGCTGAGGATGGAGTCGTGAGTTAGGCAAACAAAGCGCCTGCCCTGGGGAAGCAAGCACAGAGTCTAAACATGGGACTACATTACTGTAAACGCAGAACAGAGAGTGTAAAAAGCCTTTATCAGCTCTGACACAGATGGGTTAAGTGCAGTTGCAAAGAGACATCTTCGAGACCGCAGAAGGCTAATCTGGATGCCACACTGACTAGCTGCTTCTCTCAGAGGTCCTCAGGAGGCTAGGGTAAGACGCAGGCCCACCTGCCACCCCCAACGCAGTGAGATGAACACTTAGGCCGGGGAATGTACTTGAGGCTCTGGGAAGCAGGAAGCCCAGGAGGGGTTCCTGGGCACTGGCAGCATTTTACACACTCCAAACCTCATTCGTGCTCTCAGTCCTCCAGAGAGCTCCAAACTTTCAGTACTGTATCCCCGACTCAGTCTCTGCCACTCACGCCAGCAGGGCCTCTCTCTCACATTTGGGCCACTACCCCTTGGGCTCCCCACCCACCCAAGCTTTGTCTGTGGAGAAAAGCGTATGATCCTCCCAGAAAAGACAGCAGGACGCTGCAGTCTCCAGCAGCACTCTCTGGATCCCACCCCTGGCTGACCTCATCCTGAGCCTGATGACTTCCCTTCGGCCTCACCCATGCTAACGTAGCAGTATCTGCCCAGCCCTCGGCAGGATGCCCAGGTGCTCCCTCAGCAGCTGGGAGTGGGAGTGGGCAAAGAGCAAGGGGTCACATCCACTCCCTATACTGCACAGGAAAGGGCACAGCGAGAGCTGCTGCGGACATCCTGTTCCCAGGCTATCTTCCATCTCCACTGCCCAAGGCCTCTCCTACCACCTTGATTTTCCCTAATGGGCAAAACACAGGGCTGAAACACAAGCCAATGGATAGTCCTATTTACACCAGGATGTAGCTGCTGACCTTACCTCTAGTGAGCGGAAAGTTTCACACTGGAATTAGTGAAAGTTCCAACATTAGAGCCACAGGTGGAGCTGACCCAGCATCACCTAAGCAAGCCTCTGGGCCAAAGAGAACAGAGCTACAGTGTGGGGCATGGCAAATCATCGTCATATTACTTACTGAGCCTTTGCTGTGGACCAGGCACTACATTAACCATTGTATCACTCCTGCTTGCTTTGGTGATGCTTATAAATATAATCTCCAGTGACATAAGTAAGAAAATTAAGGCTTCTCAAGGTTAAATAATTGACTGAAAGTCGCACAGGTAGCAAGAATAAAAGCAGGAGTTGGACCGTCATCTTCTGTTTCCGAGTCTCACAGACTGACCTACACTGCCTCTACCACTGGAGCCCTATAGCATGAATCAGGAAGGTATCCCAGTTTACAGACGGCTGCTAGCGACAGTGCTAGAGACAGACAGAGAAGAGATTCTCTTCTGATGTGTGATTGGCCTATTCACGTATGACCCCAGGTTCCTAGCGCATCAGAAGGCACAGGAGGCATCTGGTCTACTTTCTGCCCTCAGAGCCTGAGAACTAACCACATGCCCCCATTGTGTTTACAAATGTTACTCTTAAGTCCTTTTCCACATTACACTGTAAGATAGGCACCAAAACAAATATTGCTTTACAGGTGAGGAAGATGAGAATCAGAAGCCCTCACAAGCGGTCTGAGCCCAAAGATTTGAGGACCACAGGCTCTGGATCCCATCTCCCTAACCTCTCTGCTATCTGTCTCCCTCAGTGAGATCCCAACCAGCAGGCCAGAGATCCCTGGGATCAGCGCTCCCAGAGCTACGGATCAGGACATTCTCCAGAGTGCAGTAAAAGCCCAGATGTCCTGGCCAATCTAAGAGACTAAGACTCTGTAAGCCTTAGGTCCCACCGGTAATTCCTTGCACAGCAGCACTCGGGGACTTGGGCTGGGGACCCACAGTCCACAGCCGGCACCTGCAGGGCCTGAGCAGCTCTTCCAGGAGTGGGCAGATTCCAGTTCAGAAAAAACAAGCATGGAAGGACACGGAAGCTCCTTCCAGCAACCAGTCTGCGGCCACTGACCTCCTTCCTCTCACCGTGGCAGCCAGTGTCTCACCCCATGTGCCAGTTGCAACCCTCCTGGACTACCTGGAGACGGAGGACAAACGATCCGAGCCCCAGAACTTCACAGTGAACCCCAGCTTTGCCAATGGGGAAATTTCTGAGAACGTGGTTGAAAGCTCTCCCTTGTCACCCCCTGGAACTCCTCCAGCTGGACTCCCCCCATGCACCCACTAATGGTTTAGTCTTCTAAGAGCCTTGGTTGGTTTAACTGGCTAGGTGTTTGCATTGGCAGAGGCAGAGGTCAGCCAGCAGGCGGAGGCTGAGGGCCCAGGAGGCTGGGCAGCCGGGACTTCATGAGCTTTCCTTCACTTTGCTCTCCAGCTTACTGTTCCTTGGTAAGAGCGTGATACAATGAAACTGCACAGAGGAACCCGGGCGGGCCAGGCCAGGTGGGCAGCAAGCGATTCATGGCAAACTCATGAATGCCGGAGGCACACACCGGACTCCCCCAAAGAACTAGACAAGAACGGCTTCCTTGGAATTTCACAGCTAAACCCACAAGCCAGACCCATCATTCCTATATCCAGTGCTTCCCTAATTAACTGCTCCGGTACGCTTCCTTCTCCTCCCAATCTGCATCCATGGGAAAAGGGTTGCAGGGGATTTGAAAGGCAGCATAGCAGGGCGAAAAGGTTCTGCCTCTGCTGTCTCCTAGCCGTGTAGTTGGTTAGCAAAAGTACTGCCATCTTACAGGTGGCTCTGATAATAGACTGAAGCAGTAGACAATATTTACTAATAATCAAGCCAGTATTTTAATAGATGGTAGTCATCGGACATGTACTATATATCAAGCAAGGTGCAAAGTGCTGTATTTGTTAGCTACTCAACACCCCTGCACTGAGTGCCTAAAGAGTTTTCTCTCACTGCTGGAACTAAATAGCCAACACCTAAAGTTAAAGGAGAAAAGGCTTATTTAGCTCACAGTTTATAGAGGTTTCAGTCCATAATCAGCTGGCTCCAAGGCAGGGTGGCGTGGCAGAAGGGCAACATTTCATGGTGGCGGAAGACAGCAAAAGCAACAAGAGCAAAAGGGGAGAAAGCAAGCCTCTTTTCCTCCCTTACGTTGTAAGCAGGCTGCCACCCCTAGGGCAGGTGTATGTAGCACTCACACCATCTCCATGCCCTCCTCTTGCACAGGATGAGGATGTTTACAAAGTGAGGACCCTGGCTCCCCCCTGAGTGGCTTAGTTAAACTTCTAAACTTCTCAAGTTGACACAATGTATCAACAATTACACCTGCAGTGTGACAGGCACTGTTCTACCTGTTAGGGATACGACGTGATCAAAACAAAGTCCCTGCAGTCAAGAAGCTGGCGTTCATCCTCTAACGTGAAGCCATCGATGACCTCATCCCATTTTACAAGTGAGACAACTCAGGCTAGAGAACAATAGTAACTTGTCAAGTTTTACACCAAGAACTGTCTGACTCTAGAAACTAGGCTTGTTACAACTTTATGGTACTGTCCTCTGAGGGCTTAACACACACAGCATCTGACACAGAGGTGGCACTTCTCTCTTCTGCAGAGGAAAGCCACATTTTCAAAGGGCAGAGGCCACGCCCCTTCTTAGGCCTGGCTGTTTGTACACGGGCCACCTCCCACCTTGTGCTCCCATCTCCTTGAGATTCGGCCCCTTCTCCTACCCCCCAG